TGGTTCAAAATGGCGACGGTGCGAGCAAGGCACTGCAGTTGCTCTGTTGTTGGCTGCACAGAAGACTGCAAGAACATAGTCATGAGAGCTAACTATACTTAAAATACTGCGCATTCACCAACAGAGCTCCAAGTAACGAGAAGACCCGGAGATGTAACCATTAGCAGGAGCTAATGTCACCTAGCTACATGTAAGTCACTCTGTACCAACACACAAACAAAGTAAAAAGAAAAATATAGAGACACATAAGATTTGTAACTAACCATTCAGAAACGTCCTGCTGCAGTCACAGAGTTGAAATTTCTTCAATAGCCTCTCCTTCTGGGTCAGACTCTGGATCAAACTGGTACGGCTAGCACTAGCATTAGCACTCTGTGTAAACGTTAGCGCTCGGTACCGTTGCGCAAGCCACGCCCCCGTCTTGCAGAGAGACTGGGAGGGGGCGTGGCTTGCGCTAAAAGCGGCATGGACAGGTGCAGCACATTAGAGATCATTAGAGAGAGTTTTCAGGTTGGCTGAAGTCCAGAAAAAAATGGGTTGACAACAAACCTCAAACTGACGGTTCTGAGACCTACATTATGTGAACCTGCTGAAAAGGAGTATAATATGTGACTTTTAATTGAAAACTCAGTGAGTAATGGTAAAGCTAAGGACGTGCATAAAGCCTTAAAATTTGCTCACAGTTACACAGGTGCTCATGCAGAAAATCACTATCCTCATTGTTAATTACCACTGCAGTGGTGAGAGTGGTGCTCAGCCTGCAAACACTCACTCCGCCTTTAGACTAAAAAGACAAAAGTTGATTCTTTATGAGATGATTGCAGTTCACGTGGTGCTACGCTCAGAGTAACAGTCAGAGGTGGGCTCGAGAATTCGCCCTGTAATTGAGCATTTACCCTGAACTCTGCAATGAAGACTCATTTACTCTTTTTTTTTCCAACTGACGCTACAGCTTTGACTGAACTTGCAGCGACTGAAGGTTTATATTCTCAAAAGCGGCTACTGTAGTTGTAGGAGCCATTTCCCCCTCATTTTAAAAACAATCTGCCTGGGCCTTTTCTTCAGCTCTCTGGTTAGTGTCAGCTTTTAAGGGGTATTCTTTGTTACAGCTGAGCAATATATCTTCACAGGGATTATTATTCATCAAATTGGCACATATTAATTTATGATAGTCAGTGTTATATTGGTGGTAAACTCGATAACAGCCATTGAAAATGTAAAAATATACAGCACAGTGGCTAATTTTGTTTAAGATGGTGTACAATCTTCTCCATCATACCCCGTAATTTGTCTGGAGCAGGTGGGCCTGCAGTGGGCCTCTACATAAACAAAGCCTGTGGCAAAACCTATTATTTTAAAGAATTAAAATCATTATAATAGTACAGAACATAGGATTTACAGTGAGGGATAGTTGTCTTCAGTACAAAAAGCCAGTTAAACAATGAGTAAGAAATGCAGTTAGTTTAATAACAGAAAAAACAAAGATATTTGCCCTCTAGCACCTGAAACAGGTAGGAGTAAATGGGCCTCCAGGCGATAAGAGATGTAAGCCAGTGAGTGAGTGAGGGAGACAGAGAGGGTTTGGCTTTGTTAAAGTTTGGAGCAGCAGAGACTCAGAGACGTACAAGTAGAAACACGTGGACAAGGCCAGGCAGATGCTACGTGTTGCTGGCTGCAGCTCAGAGGCTCGCTGGGGAATGCAGAGATTTTCAGTCGGGCTGTTTAGTTACGTTGCTCAGTCTGCTCTCAATCACTGTATGCAGAATATTTCCATTAAGAGCTGTGTGAGCCAACCCCTCCTGAGTATACAACAAACAATTAAAGAGCTACTGCTTTTTTTACTGTTATGCATCTTTCAAGGACAGGACACAAATCTGGAGTAGTGATTGTGAGGACACCTATTCCCACCACCTGTTACATCTTGGGCTCTTTTACTTCAACAAGCTGCCAATGACAAACTTGGAATTTCCTCCCTAAAGTCAGCGAGATTTGTTTCTCCAGTACAAATATTTCTTTACTTATCTTGCAGATGTAAGACTACGAGGACAGGAGTGATTACTTACGTTGGCTGTGCTGAAAGTTTGGAATATTTCTTTTCACTGGCAAACCTGACTGCTGTTAAAGTTTCTCTTCTAAAAGTTGCTCACTGTCTCTAAAACATGTAGTGCCGAGCTACAAAGGTAGTGTATTTGAATGCAGCTGAAGCTCATATAAACTCTTTCTGAGGGATTTCACCCAAACCACCAGTCTGAACTCTGAGAGACTCGCCACAAAAAAAATATATTATAGTTTGCAGCAACTCCAAACACCAGAAAATTACCAGTTCTATTTTAACGCTGTCCTGTGAGCTAAAGCTGCATTTCACTAGCAGAAATTCACCCAGAGAGTACTGCTCGAAAAGAATCCTTTAAACTTTTAACTAAAAGTTTCAGAACGTGAAGTAAAGAAAAGGAGGGAACTGTGTTTTTTTTTTAAGTTAAGGTCACAGAGACACGACACAGGCACAGCTCTTATCTTATTTCCTTCCAGACACAGTAGGACCTCCTTTTTTTAAATTCACACAAAACACAATGAAACCTGAGATATTCTCTTACTTTAACAATCCCACTCTTTCCCTTTTTCTAACCTCCAGAAATAATGAGAGTATTGTCTTAACGCTTTCTTGATGTGAAACTTTTCTTTTATGCTCTGTAATCAACAGACCTAACATCTCATAAACATTATCACTAGTTTAGACAGTTTTGAATTATCAGCATTTATTTACAGGACATTTGTGGTTTTCCTTTTTCTCAGTACATTTTTAACCTCCATTTTTGGACGCTGAAATAAACTGTGATCACAGACAATGGTTTTTGGACATGATGGACATGCCCATGCAGTTTTATATTGCAGAATCAATGTCTGTTTTTATCACCTAGTCCTGTCACTAACTTGCTTAATACTAGCCTCATTATCTGTGTATCTTAGCTAGGGCTGGGCGATAAACCCAAAATTTACCGGTACCGAAATTTACGACAATAACCAATATCATTTTGCCCTTGTCAATATATTCAGTGTCAAATAAATGAATAAATAAAAGTTGGTTTTGGATGTGTGTAGGTAGGCTATGGTCTCATGTCAGTCTGTAACAAAGAGGGAAAGACAGGTGAGGAGATGGAGGACGGCTCAAAAGTTGTAGCGGCTGAAGTAGATGAAGTTAATGTGGGAGGGGGTGAGCAGCTTGTGGAGTAGTTATTGTTCATTTATTGTTTTCGAGGTGAACTGCTCAATATATCGTGATACTGAATTGAGGCCATATCACCCAGCCCTAATCTTAGCATTACTCACCTTTTTTAATGTTTTGTTGTTCTTGTCCCATCTTTTCTTAAACATGTTTCTGACTCATATAGCAAATATTTTTCATTACTATCATGATTATTTCATTTTTGCAAACCACTAGCTTTTGGAGAATTAGGGTTGTATAGGTGCATTGTGTTTGATGCAAAATATGAGCATGACCAAAGAAGCGGCCAAACTCCTCAGAGAAAGTGAAGAGGGATTTCTCAGGTGTTGTTAAGGTGGAGAGTAATGGTGGTCCGTCTGTTTGGCAGGTGTTGGATCCACCCACAGACTTTCATTAGCTGTTGAATTAATACCTGTTCACTCCAAGTAAAATCACTAACCACACAATTTTCTCCTGAAACAGTGATTTTCTCTGCAGCTGTGCTCACATGATCTCATCCACTGTGAACAACTGGACTTGGGGCTGTCTTCAGATCAGTGGATGTACGGTATATTTAAAAGATTATCAGAAGGATCCACTTAAAATATCAGCAAAGAGTAGAAGAGACTGAGTGGGAAGGGGCAAGAGGGCATCTAAGGGGAGAAGGAAATAAGTCTATCGGTAGGTGCATCGGTATGGTTCTTACTCCACCCTTTTTTTTCAAAAATATGTTTACATTTCAGTGATTTAGTCCTGATAACTTAAGAAAACATTAATTAAACAAATTCAAATTGAGTTTATTTAGGATTTGTTACAATTGTTTTGCCTATTAGAAATGAAATCTTTGGCCCTTAATATACTGTGCTTCTTTTCTCAGTCTCTTAATTAACCATGTCTACTTAATGATAACATGGTACCTCCCTGACTTCAGGTCAACCAATATCGTTTTTTCAGGACCAATATCAAAACATAACATCTTGTTAAAGTATCCGATAAGAGGGGAAAGACACACCAGCAGCAAAGCTTAAGTAGAAAACTGATGGATTATTTAACTGTATCGACTATTTGTTTAAAAAAGCCTGATAAATAGCGAACATTGGCCATGATTATAGGCTCTGGTCGATAATCTGTCTATACCCCTATCCCTAGTTTTCTTCCTTACAAGCATCACTAACCTACAGTCGCACTTCAGTGTAGGCACAGGTCAACCAACCATAAGCAGACCTTTTAGCCTCCTTGCGAATGCTTACAGTGTTCCCGTTTGTCAGTCAAGTCAGCTGTGTCTCTGATTCACTAATCTTGTTGCCATAATAACTTTAAAATGAATGCATACAAAAATATCACTTCTTGTAAACGTGTCAATGTTTCACAAAAAGTTTCCATGTTTAATGTTTTTTTACATTTCTTAAATATCTCTACTTTCATGAATTGGAGCTTAAAATGAACAAGCTAGTGCCAATCCACTTTCAATCAATCAGTTTTTATTTGTAAAACACCAATTTTTATGAATATGTCGAGGCACTTTTGCAACAAGACCAGACGTAGACGTTACTATTTTTTAAACTGTCGTCGAGAGTAGTTCAGCTGAATTTGAGCTGAAGTTGTTTAATAGACTGAAGGATAAAGAAGAGCTGAGTTAAGGATAGAGTAGAAATATAATTATTTAGCAGTATCTAGCAGTCAGATTGCAGACTGAAACTCAGCTGCTCACTCCTAACATCGGCAAAGTAAAGTCAGTCTTTGGGAGTAAAGAATCTCCCATGATGCAAAGTATCATTTTTAAGGTGTCAACAATGAAATTTCTGCAAAAATCATCAGTCTAATTCATTTTTGTTTTCATTAAATGTCAAATATCCATATTCCTCATTGATTCTAGTTTGTGAAAACAAGACGGGTTCTCCAGGTTGAGTTTAAAAAGTAGGTAAAAGCAAAGAGGAGATGTAAGGTCAAACAGGGCCAAACTGTAGTTGTAGAAGCTGCAACGTGTCCACAGTGTAACCAGACTGCTTTGTGGATGTGCCAACTTTTCTTCTGCCCTCCTCCCGCCCTGACTCTAACATCATCGGATGGACATGCCTCTTTGGAAGAAGCCTGATTTTTATACAAGTTGTTGTAAAAACTGGAATTAAAGTCTGGATTTAAGTTTGATTAAAATGGGAATAAAAGTAAAGCACAGGTACTGCTTCCATGTGGTTTATTCGTATGAAAGGTTCTGCAGACAGGGGAAATATTGATGTTTCATAGTGAATTTTGGTTTGCACTATTTTTGTGTGTCTGTGTGGGGATACTTGATCATGAAGGCATTGATCTGCACTGTAGGGATTTGTTGTCTGCTTGTGCTTCTTGCTCACAGTGTACAAGGACCAGAGTTTGCAAAAAAAAAGTTGAGTCATATACAGAAATGTCTGCAATGAACAGGAGATTAAATACCTGCAACAAAGAAATCCCTCCAGTCCACAAAAGCCTAAAAGGAGAGTCAAATAATCTGCGTCTGTGCGTAAATTACGCACGCTCCATGTTTGCCAATATCACCCCTACAGGAATCGTTCTTCACCCCGTTTGTCGAGGTCTTATTAAACTCAATAAAAGGTTAAAATAAGCCAGTCCTCAGCCGATCAGCATATCCTTCATAAATCGAAGACGGCTAAACTGGATAAAATCACCCAGGTCCAACATCAGCCCGGCGACAAAGTGCCTCAGCTTGGATAGAGAAGAAAACCAAACACCCCAAACAAAAGCATCAAAAAGACAAGTCCTTGTTGAGACAGAGGATGCTAAAAACACGTCTACACGGTGGAAAGCACTCGTGTTAATGATGTGTCCTCATCATCCACGTTTGAGCTGAAACGTGAACTTGTTTGACATGTTTTAAGACGGCCCCCCTCTCTCGGTGAAGGAGGGACTCTCTTACTTGAACATGTACAAAGTTATCTGGTGCGCGCAGGACCTCCCCAAAACTTCTGGCATATAAAAGCCAAGCTAACTCATTTGTTTAGGCAGTAGGGAGTTTCTGCTAGGGTCTGGATTGGAGTTATACACAGACCGGACCCTACCGTGTATGAGTGGTGTCTGAGGAGAAACAGAGGATTCCCCCCTTGACACAAAGAATCTACATGTCTAATATTTAGACATGTTCAGCTTTGTGGATATTCGGTTAGCGCTGTTGCTCAGCGCAGCAGTGCTGTTGGTCAGAGGTCAAGGCGAGGATGATAGTAAGTATAACTTTCACACATTGCTTTGAGTTGGTTTTTTTGGGACTGTGGCACGCTCGGGATGTGGATAGCCCGCAAGGATGCTGAGCAGTTTGCTGGAGCTGATCGTCCTCTGCAGGATACCTGACTCCATTAGGCACAGATGTGGAGAAATTTGACGTGAATTGAGACGTTTTGTTTTCTTTTTGGTTGGGTTTGGAGATTTGGAAGCGAAAGGGGATTTCTAAAAAGTTTTCTCTAACTGTCTCCTGCGCGCACACACGCTCCCTGTGCGTGCGCAAACATGAGGGGAGCAGCTGCGCTTTCTCTGATGCGCAATGACAGGACACTGGGTTCACAATTGGAAAATGGCGAATCCCTTTAGGTAAAATTGATCTTATTTGCTTTGGAGAGCATTTTTGCAGAAGAGTAACACTCTAGATTACAACTATGCCAAATTTAATAGTCTGTTACTTAGATTTTCCTCTGTTGTTTCGCCATAAACACATCACAAGTGAGAACAAAAAGTTTTTGGAGAGCCAATCAGTCTCAGGTTTCAGGTTAAACTTTTGCACTTGACTTTTATGGGAATGGCAAAATGAATTTCACATTTTCCTCCAGTTTGGGTCAAACTAGTCTTAGTCAGTGAAATAAAAAAGACAATGGAAAATCGCTGAAGTCTGACGTCGACTGTAATATAGTCTAGACATCAATTAATCACTCCTCTATACTGAAGAGGGTGCGGAAGATGTAGTTTTGTGGGTCAACAGCGCCGCTTAGAGGCAGATACTGGGACTTTCTGCATCCATCTTCCAAACCCTCGGTCCTCCCACCTCCAAGGCCCATCCTCACATCCAGCAGCCTGAAATGTAATTAGGGCCCAGTGAAAATTTCCACCCGTTTTTTTCAGATCCAAAAATGTTGGATAGTGACCAAACCTGCGCAGACTCAAAGACTGTTTCAAGAGTTTCCAGTCTGGAATAAACATTTAAACAATATAAGAGGCTCTACTCCTGCAACAGATCAGGAAACAAACATCAAATTTGACCCAAACAATAAAGACTCCATAGGTCAGTTAGAGTGCCACAGCTTGGACACCTGATTTATTCTGATACCCCAGAAGGCCGCTGTGAGAAACTGTTCCTCCTGAACTCAAACATCTGTAAGGTTAAATGGTTCTCTATTGGATCACTGTGCTGTCTACTGGCCAGAGTTTAATGTCTGATCTCAGCCTGTTGTGCACATCTGGTTCCCATATGATGCACATCTGTGCAGATGTGGCAAAGACTCTAAAACTAACTTATGCCAGCACAGTACACAGATAGTTTGTGCATTTATTAAATAAAACTCTTGCTTTTGTTTTAATTTTACCTGAATGGACCACACTCACCCTGGTTTCCTCCTCTCAGGCATATTCGGCAGCTGCACATTAGATGGACAGTTGTACAACGACAAGGATGTATGGAAACCAGAGCCCTGCCAGATCTGCGTCTGCGACAGTGGAACCGTCATGTGCGACGAGGTGATCTGCGAGGACACATCCGACTGCCCCGACCCAATCATCCCAGACGGAGAGTGCTGCCCTATCTGCGACGCCGAGGGTACTTCATCCTCATCCTCCTCCTTACCAAATTTGTGGTTGATTAGCTTTTTGGCGCCATCTAGTGCCTTTTTACCCGAGCTCTGGCCACAAATGGACTGGAGGCCCTAAGCCTGCCTGCTTCCCAGAGGATTTCAACTCAGAAAGAATCGCTTTGGATTTACCTTTTGTCCGTTTTATTTCAATGTGCATCCTTTTGCGACGGATTATACCTGCTCTTTGCTGAAGTCTGGCATGCAAATGTAATTTCCCAGCATGCCCCCCTTGTGCAGTGACACCGCAATGTGCCAAAAGGGTCCACAAGTGTCGTGTCTGCCAAAAAACATCTCAACATTTGACATTCAGAATCTGCTTTTGATGCAATAATGAACGATTTTGTACATTTTACTTTAACCAGCCCTGACCTGCTGTAGACAGCTGATTCATTTTTAACTCTTTGTTATTAAAGAAGTCACGAGTAGCTTCTCATTAAAAACCAAGTTGACATTTTCTTTCTCTCTATTGGTTCAGTTACCGTGGATCCCATCCCAGATCCAGTGGATCCCGTGTATCCTGAGGAGGTATTTAGCCTTTTTTTTTTCTTTTTGATTGAAACAGATAATTAAATGTGAACCAAACTTTCTAACAAAACTCGGCATGATTCGGTTTAGTTTATCATCAAAGCTGCATGTGTTGGAGATTTTACTTGTGGATGAAACGTTGCAGAATAGCCTAACTCCTCTTTTCTTGTCCGTCTGTAGCCAATAAAGGGAGACACCGGCCCCAAGGGAGACCCGGTAGGTTTCCCCACTTTGACTCTCACTCATCCTGCTCAGGAGGTTTATTCTGTGCTGTAAACCCATTAACAACAGAAATAACTGCAAACAAAGGCGAAGTGAAGGTGGAGAAAAATATCTTTGAGAAAGTTTTCTCTGTGTTTTGAAGTCGGTCGAACATCTTGTAGGAATTTTGGTCTAAAAAACATGCAGTTTATACCACAAATTATAAGAGCTCTTGTGGTTTGGCTTGTTTTCAGTAGAAGATATGCAACTTTGCTGCTCTGTGTGCGATTGTAATTGGATCTTTTAGTGACATATTAGATTATTTTAGATCGACTAGATCGACCCGTCACTCAGCAGCCTCTGTGTCGGCTGCTGGGTTTAATACTGCTGTGACGTAATTATGACTTGTGACCTTGATAACTAGGTCAACAGGTCAACCAGAGTTCAAAGGTCACACTATGCAAGTAAATAAAGACTTCAAAGAGATAAACAAGTTCTTTCTCTTTTGAATGTCAGTCAGATTAAGAGCAAAATTTTAGGAAAAATCACAAAATTAAGAATTAAAATGTGATCATTCAGACACATTAAGAGTTTGGTTTTCAGATGTCTCATTGAGTATTTTATTTCACCAACATAAGATATGAAATTATAAGACGAATGAACTTTTGACCTCTTCTTCTTCTTCAGGGACTTCCTGGACCTCCTGGCAACGACGGTCTTGATGGACAGCCTGGCCTTCCCGGACCTCCCGGCCCCCCTGGCCCCCCTGGCCTTGGCGGAGTAAGTTTTTCCAAACCACAACATCTGTGAAGTCTGGGTCTGTTTTCTGTAGCTGTCACAGTCCTGAGTTTCCCCTTAAAACCCTCAACAACAGAAGTAAAAAAGCCTGCCCAACTTTTATCTTTGATGGAGACGCCAAGTTATCATCACCCGACTCAGAGGCCTCCATGTTTGTTTACACCCTGAGATTTTTTATGATACGAGAAAGTTCTCTTTGGTTGAGCATTTGTTACCTACTCAAACAGAAACTTTAATTCTCAACAGATGATTCAGGATTAGCATCACTCAACCCCTTAAATCAGTCACCCTACAGCAGTGTAAAGAAACTTGAGTCTCTGTGGAACATTATCCAACAAAAACAATATTTTCTACACTCTTCTCAAAGCTAAGAGACTTACGTTTTATCCTTCTCTTTTACAGAACTACTCTCCTCAAATGAGCTACACAGACCACTCCAAATCCAGCGGACCCCCTCAGCCTGGCCCAATGGTAAGATGGCTTCCCTCTGTCTTGATCCACCTTTATTTAGGTGATAATGTTTTGTTGAACATTTGCAGACAGGTCAAGAAAATCTAATGTGTGTTTCTTCAATCTTTATCAACAGGGTCCTATGGGTCCTCGTGGTCCTCCTGGACCTTCTGGCTCACATGTAAGTATTCTTGTAGCACTCCTGGACGGTCCTTTTGTTGAAATAATCTAGCGTTAAAAACAGATCATTGTTAACTTCCAGGATTTTCGGAGGGTATTGTGTTAATCTCGTTTCTTTCTCGTCCAACAGGGTCCTCAGGGTTTCACCGGCCCCCCTGGTGAGCCCGGTGAGCCTGGAGCTTCTGTGAGTACACATATTGATCTAATAAACAGATTTGTCTTTGGTTGGGTTAAGAGGGGGAATGTCATTAATATTTCCTCATGCTGTAGTCGTCAAGGCCCCATTTCTGTCAGTGATAGATCCCCCGCATGCCCTCAGAACTTTTCACGATGTTAAACATTTATTCCGTACTAACGAGGCCATTTATTGTGTTTTCCCAGGGTCCCATGGGTTCACGTGGTCCCGCTGGCCCCCCTGGAAAGAACGGAGATGATGTAAGCCATTCATCGACTATTATCTCCTCCTGCTCTTCATCACAGTTCTTGTTCATTCCTAAAAGACTTGAACGGCTCTGACACAGACTGGAACGATTCTTATTGTCCTCCTGACCAATCCCTCTCTCTCTCTTCCTCAGGGTGAGCCCGGCAAAGCTGGTCGCCCTGGTGAGCGTGGAGCCGCCGGCCCTCAGGTGAGTGACAAAAATCAGAAAACAGTTCGACTTAGCGCTCATGATGAATCTTGAGTCGTATTATAGACCCGTGCGTACAGTTTTCTGATAAACGCCCCTCTGCCTTCTTCTCTAGGGTGCTCGCGGATTCCCCGGAACTCCTGGACTCCCCGGCATCAAGGGACACAGAGTGAGTCCGAGAGAGTGTTTCGCATCAAATCCATTTTTTTTTTTGAGTTTGTAAAGGAAGGTGTCTGACCTGACTGATTTCGCACACAGGGATTCAGCGGTCTGGATGGAGCTAAGGGAGATGCTGGACCTGCTGGCCCCAAGGTACGACCGTAGGAAGTACTCTCGCCCCCTGAAGAAGGATGTTTCTCATAATAGCGACAAAATACTCAGCTTTTCCTTTTTGTGTTTGTCCACAGGGAGAGGCTGGTGCATCTGGTGAGAACGGCCTTCCCGGTGCCATGGTAGGTTGTTTTTTTGACTCTACATGAACTCACTGTACCTCTGCTGTGGGTTAGACGCAGCCTTGTAAAACTGATGTGTCTTTTTTTTAGGGCGCTCGTGGTCTTCCTGGTGAGAGAGGACGCCCTGGACCTCCTGGCCCAGCTGTAAGTTCAACTATTTCACTCAAAAGTTATAAAAACTTTCAGCTAGTCTGTTGTAAATGTTTATCGCTGCTGATGAAACCCTCCTAATGTAGTCCTCTTCTTCTGCAGGGCGCTCGTGGTAATGATGGCAACACCGGCCCTGCTGGTCCTCCTGTAAGTGCGACTTGATACGACTTTCAAATCAGGGCTATCCCAAAACACCCATATTTAACTGTCATTAAAAAAAAAAGGAAAATGTGATACAGAGCTAAAATGATTATAATTAAAGCACATGATGATACCCTCATAGCTCAGGGGTGTTAGTGGCGTTTTTTAGCTGGAGAGAAGATGAAGAAGAAGAAGAAGCAGGCGCGGTAGTGAAGTAGCTGTAGCAGAAGATGATCAGACGCTTTCAAAACTGATTTCAAGATTTAGTGTAAATGGAGGTTTTTGCCTCTTCAGGGATGCTGATACACTGAAGTTTTATCCTTTTAAATCATTCTTGAAGCTAATTGTTGTTTAGGTCCACAACCTGAGTTATTTCTGAAGCTTTTTTTTAGATTATAGAAACTAAAGCAACCTAAAGGCAAGGCAGTAAAAATGTTAAAATGAAAGAACGGTAAAATACTGTTTTTGCAGTTTCCTCTCAAAAAAATGAAAAGAATGATATTTCATTAAGTCAGCTGCATTAGTAAAGTTTATAAAGTAAGGAATTGCTCCCCGATTGTCCCGCCTGTCTTTAATTTGACTGTTATTTCCCGAGGTTTTAACAGTTTAGCCGTGATGTCAATCTAATATCATGGCAGCTATTTCTCGTCTGTGTAAAAACAAGTCAAGCTAACATCATCATCTGCTGCAAACCCAACACGTCTTCTTCTTCTGAATGTTTCAGGGACCTACCGGACCTGCTGGCCCCTCTGGATTCCCCGGTGGTGCTGGAGCTAAGGTACGTCTTTATATGGGTTACATATTTTAGATCAATTAATCTGATCAGACACATCATAATGTAGTTTGTTAAAGTGGGTTAAAGTGAGACAAAAGGGTCGCCTCAACAAACAGGGGAATTGTTTCGTTTGGTTTTACTGATATTAATGTGAAACTAAGCTGTAGATAGTTTTGATTTTTATGGCTTAAAACTGGTTTTCTGTGTCAGTAGGATCATTGTAGAGATTTCAAAAGACCCTCCACTACTTCTCATAGTCACCAAATGTGTGATAAAACTCTAATCCCAAATGAAACAGACTTTATTTCTACACCGTCACTCACTGACCAGCAGGCTGTAAATCTAAAAATACATCCTAATTCTGTCAAGCTCAGGTGAGCGCTGTAGCCACCAGATGGCATCAGTAGACCTGTAATGGCAGTTTCCCTTTGAGACCTCCCTCCCCATCTGTAAAAGTAGAGGCGCCATTATCATGAATTCACACACTCACCTTTTATTTTAATAACCAGGAAGAAGAGAGTGTAGAAAGTGTGGACAGATACACACGATCAGTTGGAGAGTTAGATGTGTTCATGTTGTCTCCACTTGGATAGGTAGATTGTTGGATTTTGGAGTTAATGATACCTGAGCTGCGGATTTCTAAACCCCTGTTGCTCCTCTCTACAGGGAGAGACTGGAGCCCAGGGAGGACGTGGATCTGAGGGACCCCAGGGAGCCCGTGGTGAGCCCGGTAACCCTGGACCTTCTGGACCCGCTGGACCCGCTGTGAGTAGATAACCGCGCCGATCTGTCTTATTGAAAATTCGGAGCTGAACTCTTTTAACTTAACGTTTTCTTTCCTCCTCTCTCATCAGGGTGCCCCTGGATCTGATGGTAGCCCTGGTGCTAAGGGTTCTCCTGTACGTATCATGGTCATCGATCACCTTTTAAAACCACTTAAAGCTGGCACACAAAATCCTATAAACCCTGTCTCTCCTCTCTCCTTAGGGTGCTGCTGGTATCGCTGGTGCTCCTGGTTTCCCCGGTTCTCGTGGTCCCGCTGGAGCTCAGGGAGCTATTGGTGCTCCTGGTCCCAAGGGTAACAACGTGAGTAGATGATTGATTTTTTTTGGAAGTTTTAGGGTTTGGCATCAGACTATGTTGACCTCCTGTTTTAGAGACTTTAGAGATCAAATAAAATGTGTGTTTCTGCCAACAGGGTGACCCCGGTGTCGCTGGTCCTAAGGGAGAGCCTGGTGCCAAGGGAGAGGCTGTAAGTCCCAAATATGATGCTTCTAATGGGTGTAACACTCTCTGAGTGATTGAGGAAAGAAGTACTCATAACTTACCTGCTGTTTTGTCCAGGGCCCTGCTGGACTTCAAGGACTCGCTGGCCCATCTGGTGAGGAGGGAAAGAGAGGACCCCGTGGAGAGCCTGGTGGTGCTGGACCCCGTGGACCCCCTGGAGAGCGTGTATGTAGACTCCTCTTAATATTGGTTGAATAAAAGGAAAACGAAACTAAAAGAAGGACAAACAAAAACCAGAGGCGGATGATTCATCTGCGTTCGTTTCCATTCATAAGGACATTACAGCATCATAGTAGCAGCTCTGGTTTGTATTGGTGGACTGTGCTACAGCTAAGACACCAAAAATGACCAGAGCTTCAGGCCAATAATCCAGATTCTGACAAGGAAAATTGACAGTTATTGATTTTTTTTTTTCTTAATGAGAAGATGAAACGTGTTTTCAGGCACTTATTTGCACCATAAAGTTAGCACAGCAGAAGTCCCATCATCTTTATACACTATTATAATACAGCGCAGTGACTGACATGCTTGTTGTGTCTGTTTTCATCCCTCAGGGTGCCCCTGGTGCTCGTGGTTTCCCTGGTGCTGATGGAGGTGCTGGTGGTAAGGTGAGTCACTAAATCGACCCAAACTGATCTCAGTTTTTTATCAGATAATATAGTTTGATTTAAATCCAACCATGAAGTGAATTAAAACCATAACAGATGTATTTATGTAGGGTTCAATCTTGCAGTTAGTCAATGATCCATTACTCACGATAAAAGCCTTAATATGGTGAGTTGTTTTGTAGCGTTAGAGTGTGTTTATGTTTGTCAGTAAACAATGTGTTGAAAAAAATCCTGAAAAAATCGATACAGGATAGTATCGCGATATTTTGTCTGGTGATATATCGTATTGTCTCATTTACCAAGTATCGATTTTTCATATTAATTGCTAATATGAAGTCACATCTATGATAATGGAAAAATAAAATCAACTGTTTGTCGAGTGAAGTTGTCAACAAATATATGTAAGGTTTGCAAGATGTGCCACATGAAAATAAATTACAGCGTCAATAAGACAAACATAAAGGAAAGACAAATGCTAAATTGGCTAAACAGTTGTAAACGTTGTATAGATCGCAATATATTGAAACGTAATGCTCACTGTATTGCAAAAGGTTAAAATCGCAATAATATCGTAGCCCAAGTATCGTGATAATATCGTATCGTGGGGACACTCGTGATTCCCACCCCTAAAATTGGGATGTTATTGTTTCTGAGTTGAGTATCTGAGCTGGACACATGTGAAAGATTAGGGTCAGAAACTTCGCCCTGATCGCCTCCTCTTCTTCCTTTTTCATCCTTTCTTCATCCTTTTTCTCTCCTGCCTTTGTCCAACAGGGAGCCCCCGGTGAGCGTGGTGCCCCTGGCCCACTCGGACCTCAGGGAGCCACCGGTGAGGGTGGCACCCCTGGTGCTCCTGGCGCTCCTGGATCCAAGGTGAGTCTTGCAACTGGTTCAATCAAACAGACACTAAAATTATGACTCCTGTTTTCCGTTATTCACCCGTTTCTTCCTCCACAGGGTGTGACCGGTAGCCCCGGAAGCCCTGGCCCTGACGGCAAAGCTGGACCTGCTGTAAGTCCCAACCTGCAAATAGTTTCTGATAGTCAGGGCTGATGATTTAGTAAAACTCATTGAGAGTCGATATTCCTACGTCTGATTGTCATTGTGTTTTTAGGGTGTTGCTGGACAAGATGGACGTTCCGGACCTCCCGGCCCTGCTGGATCCAGAGGACAGCCTGGAGTTATGGGATTCCCCGGAGCCAAGGGAGTCGCTGTGAGTTAACCATTTCATTCCCAAAACACTCATCACGAAATCGTTCAAATATGTCACAGAATCAGGTGTGTCTACCTGGGACCGCTTATTGGTCTAGCAAAGGGAGAGGACTGTTGACAGATCGTATTTAGTCCTGCAGACTTCAGTGTTGACTTTGTCCCTTACAGGGTGAGTCTGGCAAACCTGGAGAGAGAGGACCTGGTGGTGCTACTGGTGCTGTTGTAAGTCCCTGTTTTTTGTTTATTACAGAATTGAAGCTTGTTCCGCTTGTCTCGTGTTCAGACTGTGTGTTTGCAAACATACGGATAATTGTTTTGGTGATGTTTTCTGTCACAGGGTGCTCCTGGCAAAGACGGTGACATTGGTGCTCCTGGCCCCTCTGGCCCTGCTGTATGTATCATTCCCACCTTACACACAGTGACTCATATGAACACTTCCAATCATCTCAGTTGTCCTCATCATCAAATTTGCTTCTTGTTGTTCAGGGACCTGCTGGTGAGAAGGGAGAGCAGGGACCCGCTGGTCCTGCTGGATTCCAGGTAGGTTGTGGTCGTACCTCAGAAGCCCGTTCCTTTTTTCTGTTCAGTCAAGATTTCTGAGCTGGGTCACTCATATTTTCCTTCTCCCTTACTTGTGCAGGGTCTTCCTGGACCTCAAGGTGCTACTGGTGAGACTGGCAAGCCTGGTGAGCAGGTAAGAAAAGAGTGAGACCAAACAAAGTGGTTTCATATTTAGGTCCTTTCTGCTTTTAAGGATGCTACTGATACATATTTTCATTTAGTGGAAGATTGAGCCTCGATTTCAGCACACAGAGATATAATTCACATACAGCACAGAACCTTAGTTAGATGTGTGATCTTAGAGATTGTATTTCAGAGTTTTCAGCTTTTAAAAATATGGAAAAATACGGAAATAAATTTGATCAATTTCCAGGTCTTAAAAAGTATGTAAAATGAAAAATACAGTATGTAAAGATACTTATGTTTCCAGACTATTACCACAGTAAAAAAATACTGTTTTCTCGAATAGATAAAGTTGGTATTTTCAAAAGTAGGGTATGGAGAAGTATGGAAATTCCAACCACTCATTAGCATTTTGGAGATTTGATAATTGAATGTCTCGAGAGATCATCTCTTCATCTCCATGACAACCTTCTCCTCTCTTCTTTTCTGTTCAGGGAGCTCCTGGTGAGGCTGGACCCCATGGTCCATCTGGACCCAGAGTGAGTATCTCCTGAGTTTCATTCACTTTTAAAAAACGTCTCTCTGGTTTTTAAGCTTCAACTAAACTGATGGTTTTCTTTCTCCTGTAGGGCGACAGAGGTTTCCCCGGAGAGCGCGGTGGTAACGGAGTTGCTGGACCCACCGGACCCCGTGGTGCCGCCGGCCCCGCTGGTAACGATGGAGCCAAGGTGGGTCACAAATATTAAACAACAATCTAATGTCTAATACAGCAGCTACCAAATAGAAAACATGCTTTTTAAAGTTTGAGGGTTTTAATGGTGTAGAAGCACTTTTTTAATATCTGTGATTAAAAGAAGATTCATCACAGTCACGGAAAATAACTTTCAGGAAGAAATCGACTGCACCTCTGGATGAATCAGTCACATTAAAAATAAACAAACAATGAGTGAATCGATTAGTAAAGACAGATTTTTATCATGAAAATGCTCATCCTATGTAAAATTATCTCCTCAAACCAAATTATTTACCTTTTTCCCTTTAATTACAATTTTCATGACCAACTTTTCTGGTATTTTTGTCTTTTAAATGATATAAATATCAGTACAGTACAAGGACAATTAGAGGAGGTAACCTGAATAAATGTAAAGTGAAGAGAACTGAGGAATTGGCTGAAGAATAGAGGACACAAATCAATATTTGTAGCTTCTGATCTTCTTTTCCCTCTGTGTTTATTTCCTCATCATTCCTCGTTGCTCATCTGTTTACTCAAAAAAAAGCTTTATCTTTTAATCCCCTGACTTTCTTAAATGTTCGTCTTGATGTTTAACAAACAGAAGATTAACCTTAAACTGTTTCTTATTTCAGTTGATTTAACATGATTGTTTTCAGTAATTTGTTACATTTTCTGTTTTTTTGTTGTCTGCAGGGAGAGCCTGGTGCTGGTGGTGCCCCCGGTGGTATTGGAGCCCCCGGTATGCAGGGAATGCCTGGTGAGCGTGGAGCTAGCGGTCTCCCCGGAGCTAAGGGAGAGAGAGTAAGTGACTCTTACTCGAGTCCAGTTTGTCGTCATTGAGGCTAACCTGAACAGGCAGAGATTTGAGGTAGACGCGGCCTAACTTAATGAACTCTCTCTCTCTTCAGGGAGATGGTGGCGCAAAGGGAGGTGATGGTGGCCCCGGAAAAGATGGAGGCCGTGGTCCAACTGGTGCCATTGGACTCCCAGGACCCCCTGGTGCTCAGGGTGAGAAGGTGAGACCAAAAAAAAAGCTTCTTTTTCATATTATTGATTCTATTTCATGAAATGTTCTTTTTAGTTTCTTCTCATTGCTTCTTTACATTTAACACCATCTTTTTTCAGATATGTTGACATTCCTATATTAGAGATATTCTCAGCTGTTGTGTGAAGTTACTAGCATCAGTTACCAAACAGACTTGGTAGAGATGGAGTATCATCTTTGTAAGCAAGTTAAACATGACCTCCCGTAATGTCATCTCTCCTGGGAATCTCTCGTCGTTTGATGGTCCACGTTCATTCATGAATCGGATTTGTCCAAAGTTGCCAGACAACTTTAGATTGTCCTGTGTTTCTGCTGAGCCTCACAGACTCTGGATTCATTCTTTTAATTTACAATTTGGGATGAAGTCGATTCAAGTCGGTTTAAGCTGTAAACTATATTTAAGTAGTATTTGTTTCAAAATGAACACTAAAATGAAAGGGAAACAAACGTGAGATATAATATTTATGTTGATAGTCTTGCGCCGTCTCGGAGTGATGCGTTCAGGGCCGCCTCAGATAAAAGAGTGCTGTATTGTACGCATAGAGAGCTTTATACGGGAGAGCATATCAAACATTATGAGGACTTTAACAGTAATATATGTGGACTGAATATGTTCAAGACATATTGTAGCTATCATAACAAAACAAAAAAGTGTGCAGCTTCACTTTGACTTATTTGGATGAGCAATCTAATTACAAATACTTTCATAATTAGCTCATATCCACCATACAAGGTAACCCCAAAACTGTCCAAAGTTGCCAGGTTTGATCAAGTCTCTGGAGCGCTGACCTTTATTTCCCTCCACCTCTGATTTCAGGGTGAGCCTGGTGCTGTTGGTGTCGCTGGAGCCACCGGTCCCCGTGGTTCCCCTGTAAGTTCTTTGTCAAACACGCCCCTGATTCACGACTCGGAAACAAAGAAAAAGAAACATTTGTTACTGAGCTAGAAACCAGTAACCTGAAGCTTTTGTTTTTCCTCCTCGTGACTCTCACAGGGTGAGCGTGGAGAGGCTGGACCCGCTGGACCTGCTGGATTCGCTGGACCTCCTGTAAGAATCCTGAACGCCATCATTTATTTAGATTTCTGTAACCGTTAAGAGTCCAAGTTTGGGGTGAAAACATCTGCTGGACTGGTCTTTCTTTTTGTCCCTCTTCATCCCAGGGTGCTGATGGTCAGCCTGGTGCCAAGGGAGAGAGCGGTGACACTGGACCCAAGGGAGACGCTGGTGCTCCCGGACCCGGTGGACCTGTTGGAGCCGCTGGACCTCAGGTAATCCCACAGATAACACAGCTAGGTGCTGTAAAACAGTCATAGAAAGTTGAAGTCTGTCAATGACGATAAAAGCTAAAATCGGTGTGAAGAACTAAACTTTTTTCTTCAACAGGGACCTGCTGGACCTCCTGGACCCAAAGGTGCTCGTGGTGGTGCTGGATCTCCTGTGAGTATCTCTGAAATAAAGATTTTATAGAGTCTTGCGGCGCTGTAAGTTATGCTTCTTCTCATCCTCTTTTTTCATTCTGGGTGTGTTTTTAGGGTGCTACTGGTTTCCCTGGACCTGCTGGCAGAGTTGGACCTCCCGGCCCCTCTGTAAGTTTGACCTCCTTCATGTAGTCCTCCTCCTTTTTAGTGCATTTGTAAATCCCAGCCGAGGCTAAATCAACGACTTGAATCCTCTGCAGGGAGCTGGTGGACCCCCTGGACCCGTTGGACCCGTCGGCAAAGATGGAGCCAGAGGAGGCCGTGGTGAGACTGGTGCTGCTGGTCGCCCTGGTGAGGCTGGTGCCGCTGGCGCTGCCGGACCTGGTGGAGATAAGGGATCTCCCGGTTCTGATGGATCCCCTGTGAGTTTCTTGCAAAATAATAATAATAATAACTTAATTTTTATAGTAGTAGTAGTCGTTTATTCAGTCATGACAACACTAAATATTGTACACAATATTGACATTTCACACAAAATCACAACAACAGATAATTAATCGCACTTATAAGCTTCAAAAATTACTTTACAAACCATTTTCTTAAAAAACAAAAAAAAGAATGACATGTTTTTAGTTTTATGTTGGCATCATTCTAGACACACCTCCTTTTCATACCCTTTTTTTAGCTTTTTGTACAGTAAATTTGCCAATACATCTGAGATTATACGGACCGTCCTGAATTGAAAAGAACCTCTGTAGAAATAAAACAAAGGCTAAAAAGACAGTAAATCGAAATGAGATGAAGGTAAAAGATAAAAGTGCAAGTCTGTTAAAGTGATCTTTTAAATTAGACTTAAAGGAAGCGACTGTCTCTGCAAAATAACATCACAAAATGGTCAGTGATTTATTTCCTGTTGTGCGCCTGCTGACTGGCTGTTGTTGTTGTTGTGCATAGGGTGCCCCTGGTATCCCCGGACCCCAAGGTATTGCTGGACAGCGTGGTATTGTAGGTCTCCCCGGACAGCGTGGAGAGCGTGGTTTCGCTGGTCTGCCTGGACCTGGAGTGAGTATCCACCAACACAAGAGTAGGCAAAGGATGTAGAAAACAAACAAACAAACAAAACTTTTTCAGTAGTTTTTATTCTGCGTCAGAGATCTGACCTCTCTTGGTTTCCTTTAGGGTGAGCCTGGAAAGCAGGGACCTAGTGGACTTGTTGGTGAGCGTGGAGCCCCCGGACCCGCTGGACCTCCTGGACTCTCTGGTGCCCCTGGAGAGGCTGGTCGTGAGGTATGACACCCTGAATTCTGCTGAAAATCTTCAAGAATAGAGACTTTTTTTAACAAGGTTTATTTCTCACTTCTTGTTGTTAGTGGTGCACGTTTTTCAGGTTTTTAGACTCAGCCAGCCAAGATGTCCGGTAGCTAATCACTGAGCTGCTCTGTCTCCTCTCTCTCTCAGGGATCTGCTGGACACGATGGTGCCCCTGGTCGCGATGGAGCTACTGGACCCAAGGTAATCCTCCTACTCTGGATTTGTTTTCTAAAACTTCTCAATAGGGACACACTACTCATAGAAAACATCGTATTTAGCTGCACAGTGGTCTCTAACTGGATATTTACCTCTGTAGGGAGACCGTGGTGAGAGTGGCATGGCTGGACCCCCAGGACCCCCTGGTCCTCCTGGTGCCCCCGGAGGTGTTGGCCCATCTGGCAAGACTGGTGACCGTGGAGAGTCTGTAAGCTCCCTTTCTTCTCCTCTGCAGCCTGTTGAAGACCAACTCTCCGTTCTGATTTAACCCACTTTTCTACCATTCTTTCAGGGTGCCGCTGGCTCTGCTGGTCCTTCTGGTCCCGCCGGTGTCCGTGGTCCTGCTGTATGTTCATCCCAACACAACATGCATCACCAAAATATTCATTTTAATTGGCGCTCCAGCGTAGCGATCGTATTGACCTCTTGTTTTCTTCGTGTAGGGACCTGCTGGAGCTAAGGGAGACAGAGGAGAGGCCGGTGAGGCTGGAGACAGAGGCCACAAGGGACACAGAGGATTCTCTGGCATGCAGGGTCTGCCCGGACCTGCTGTAAGTAGCTCTTAACCCTAGAACACTATCGCTAAAATTAGTAACACCATCACTATCGGCGAGTGATTTTTACTTGAAATAATATACCCAAGAGGAAACCAGACCAGATATTCATGCATCTATGTTTTTCTGCCTTTAGGGAACCACTGGAGAGAGAGGACCCGCCGGTGCCTCTGGACCTGCTGGACCAAGAGTAAGTAGACCTGTTGCAGAAGTGAAGACTTGTACTAAAATAGAACTAATAGAAGCTCAGTGTGAGTAAAGGCTGTCTTCATATACCCGAGTAAAAAGACGCATTTGTGTTGAATATAATCAGGATGTTTCAGGATGTAAAAAATGCACAGTCAGCAGATTTATGTTGCATGGCTGACAGGACTAAACATGATCGAGAGATTGAGATACTTAGTCTTGCAAGGTTTTATTCTGAGTGATACTGCAACTTTTGTTCCACAGGGACCTGCTGGATCTAACGGCTCCCCCGGTAAGGATGGAATGAACGGCCTGCCTGGACCTATTGGACCCCCTGGACCTCGCGGTCGCAATGGAGATATGGGCGCTGCTGTGAGTCGAACTAGAATCTCTATTTTTGATTTTAAAGAACCACTTCAATTTGCTTTTTTGCATCAAGACTTTTTGACTTTGTCAGGAACCTCTACTTCAACGAAATTAAATTGACTAAATTACAAAATGCTCTTATTAAAATTATGGCACTTGTCGTGTTAGGGTCGCTGTTGACCTGGTTAGATCAATATCATGTGATGATTTAGGAAATTTTGTTTGAGATACTTGTGTCTGTGGTAAATAAACTTGTGGTGTCTCCGGACAGGGTCCTGCTGGACCTCCTGGACCCCCTGGACCTCCCGGACCCCCCGGAGGCGGATTCGACTTCGTCAGCCAGCCCATCCAGGAGAAAGCCCCTGATCCCCTGCGTGGAGGCTACCGCGCTGATGACCCCAACATGCAGCGCGATCGCGACCAGGAGGTTGACACCACCCTCAAGACCCTGACCCAGAAGGTGGAGAAGATCCGCAGCCCCGACGGTACCAAGAAGAGCCCCGCCCGCATGTGCCGCGACCTGAGGATGTGCCAGCCTGACTTGAAGAGCGGTGAGTGAAGACCAGAGCCGCCATGCAGCTTTCAGACAAAACATTAATATGGGCTTAGACTCAAACTGGTTTCTGTCCCCCTGTTTCAGGCATGTACTGGGTGGACCCCAACCAGGGCTCCACTTTGGATGCCATCAAGGTCCACTGCAACATGGAGACTGGAGAGACCTGCGTCTTCCCCAGCAAGGCCAACATCCCCATGAAGAACTGGTACACCAGCAAGAACAACAAAGAGAGGAGACACATCTGGTTCAGCGAGTCCATGACCGGTGGATTCCAGGTAAGACATGAAGAAACCCAGACCAAGAGCATCCCCAAAATCTCACAGATCAGAGAGTCTGATCTCCTCCCTCTCCTCCCTCCATCTTTCAGTTCCAGTATGGCACCGATGGAGCTGATACCGAGGACGTCAACATCCAGATGACCTTCATGCGCCTGATGTCCAACCAGGCCTCTCAGAACATCACATACCACTGCAAGAACAGCATCGCCTACATGGACTCCGCCACCGGCAACCTGAAGAAGGCCCTGCAGCTCCAGGGATCCAACGACATCGAGATCAGAGCCGAGGGCAACAGTCGCTTCACATACAGTGTCAGCGAGGATGGCTGCACGGTGAGTTCACTGAAACACATCAATTCAACCTCAGAAGAAGCGAGAACTTTTATCCGAAACACGTCTTTACTGAGCAACTCCTGACTTCCTCTCCTTCTCTCTCTCTCCACAGTCACACACTGGCACATGGGGCAAGACAGTCATCGACTACAAGACAACGAAAACATCCCGCCTTCCCATCATTGACATTGCTCCTATGGATGTTGGTGCAGCTGATCAGGAGTTTGGCGTCCAAGTTGGCCCCGTCTGCTTCTTGTAAAAATGAAAGAAATATGGACATGACGTTGTTGTTTTTTTTCTAGCAGTCATCTCTAAATCCTTTTTTCTATGCATTCAAAACTCATTCGGCTGCCATTGGTCCACATGCTTAAAACCACTCTACTGAAGACGATGTTTCAAATCATGAGAAGTCTTTTTTTTGGACTGCTACTTCAACCAACTCGCAAGGACACTTTAAAAAAAAAGAATCGTTTGTCCCCACTGGAAACAAGAAAATAATATATACTTGTGTAAAATTTCCCCCTGGAGATTGAGAAAAAAAACATTCACTCACGCAATGAAACAAAGGTGACTTTTGCAATTTTTCTATCACTGCGGAAAGGACATTGAAAACAACAAGTGATATGTACCATGTTTCTGGTGTTAAATAAATTGTAAAAAGTGTGAAGTGTCTTCTTGTGCTAAATTTTGTGGAAAGAAAAACACCTGAATGTTGCTCAGACAGAGGAAACAAAGAAGCTCACCTTCATTGCTAAAATGTAGATGGCTACCTCATAACAAGAAGTCACCCTGAGTTTTTTTCTTAACTGAAAAGGGTTTATTTTACACGAGTCTATTGTGGGGAAAATCAAAAACATTAAAGGTGCTAAAACCATTTCAATGAGGTCCAGTTATTGGTGTTTGACAGTGAAACTCTCGCCGTCATACTGTAATTATTGCCACTAATGCCTGCAGAACCTTTGGTGCTACTAAATTGATTCTTGTTGTCCATGCAGTGCAAATGTTTTCTTCCTGAGTGTTGGTTTGATGGAAGAGGTCCTCAGAAAAAGGTGATCACTGCAGATGTTATGCATGCAATCATGTCTTTGTAGATAAAAAGCAAGTGACTCTGGTTCAACATCATTTTCCCTGCCCATGTGTTCAGTGTTCAACCTTCTGTCTGTTTTTTTTTTTTTTGCCCCTGTGGAAAACTCCTCTTCACTAAAAAGAAAAACAAAACAGCACACATCTCCCACTCTGTTGTTTATGTTGTTTGTTGATGTCTTTCGCGAAGGTTTCTTAAAAAAGAAATTGAAGCAGACCCACTTTCATGGTTTAAAAGAGAGATTCTGTACTTATTTTGTACATGTATAATAAATTGAGATGTTTTTAATTATTTTGGGTGCTGAAATAAAGCATGTGAAGTGGTCTACTCAGTGGCGCATGTTTTCACTGTCCTGTTTGGCAACTGTTGTGAAACTGAAATGAGGTGTTAGCTCATTAGAAACTTTACTGTAGCCACATCTTGTATTTGCTGACTCCTCAGTCAGGCCGCGGATGTCCTAACTCTGGTTTTAGACGGTGAATTAAAACAGGTTCAGGGATCAACTGTTCCACAACAGTTGCATTGAGTTCATTACCAAGAAGCAGCAGTGAAAACAAGGCCAATATCTAATCTCTAAATCTAGTTTTACCACCCTCTACACACAGTTGCTACTTCTTATCATGCAATTTAAGAGCTACAATAGAAAATTTCAAACCTGGCATTAAAAAGATATGCAGAGGTGGAAGTTTCAGTGCCACATGCCTTTTTACCAATATAAATACTCAAGAATAGGAAGATTTTCACAATTAGGATGGAGAAGGGAGATGTGTGTCTGGTGTGAAGAGGTCAAAACCTAGATAAAGCCCACTTGCGCCCCCTTCTGGATGAATTACGGGACAACAACTGCTTTAAACATGTGGATCAAACTGCGAATAAGGCTACTGCATTGCCCTCTAAACCTCCCATCCCCAATACAGCAATACAAACAAAAATATAAAACAAATAACCTTTAAGGGATATTCTAGCATACAATTAATTTAGGGTCAAACACACCGTAACGCCACGTTAGACACCCCCTCGAGAGATGAATGTTGCCAACTGCTTGCTTCTCGAGTTATACCAACTTTAATAACGACCGCACCATAGCGATACATAAATGTTATTCCTTGAGCTGCGTCACCCCGCAGCAGCAGTAATGGACTGGCCTAAGGACTCACGTACGATAATTATCGTATTTGTACGATAATTTCGCCCTCTGTTCGATCAATAACCCAGAAAAAAGGCTAAATGTACTATAATTTGCCAGCCACACACTTTATTTTTCAGTTTTATTTGCGAACCCTGAAGGCATCTTTCACCACGTGACGTTTCCAACCAGTCGTAGTTTGAGTGACGTTTGTCTCCGAACAACGGGAAGTGAGTTGAGAAAAATTAGCGCCACGGAAGAGGACGGTGATTAACGGGAGCCGAATCCTCGTGTGAGGACAAGTTGATTTTTGTGTCTAAAATAGATTTCACCAAGTTAACTCAGATTACTCTTGATTTCCTCGTCAGTTATTATGAATATTGTTTCAAACGAGTTGGTGGCCTCAAGGTCTCATGTTTGGCTCATTAGTTCCCACCTGTCAATTTGTTTGAAGGGGACGCATTAGTGTAACACAGCTGAATTAGAGCTGCTCATACGACGCTGACTTTATAGATAATCATTTCTTTATCATTTCCTTGAAGTAATAATCACCATATTAAACATTTTATCCTGCAGACGCGGTCGTTCTTCTGCCTTAGCGTCTCGGTCTGATTGCATTTCCATGAAGAAACTATCACAAATGTTCTTCCTTGAGCTGCGTCACCCCGCAAAAATCCGTAATGGACTGGCCTGAGGTCTCGCTACAAACAAGCGGCTGGTGGAAGAGAGTGGGTGAGTTGTGTTTAGTCTCTTTGCTAGTGATATGGCTGTGACCCTATATGTACTGTTGATGAAGTTAGGTGCTGTTCTGAGCATTATTTGTGGCTATAGAGTGGCGTTTTGGTTGAGGTTTGTTTATGGCTCCTCGGACCGCCGCGTATTGCTATCGTGCGGTTGTTACTAAAGTTGGTATAACTAGAGAAGCAAGCGGTTGGCAACATTCATCTCTCGACGGGGTGTCTAACTCGGTGTCATGGTGTGTTTGACCCTAAATTGATTTTACGCCGGAATATCCCTTTAACACTGATAGACTTTATAGAAAATAAACCAAGACATCACTCATTTGTTGTCCATATGCCATCTATTTCATGAAAGGACACGACACAAAGGAAATTTGGCTTTTTATATAATTTATTGGTAATGAAATATAGTGAGAATTAAACAGCAAAGAACTATATAACAAGCCACACACTTTCAGTTGATTGTAACGGCACTTTAGGGAGCAAAACAATACACATGTGAGTTTCCACTGCAGATATACAACATACTGTGACAGCACACGACTTCATTATTGACACATAATCCATCACCGTTCTCATTTCCTGCAAGAACAACCAAAAAGATGAGTTCTTGTTTCGTAATCAGCAGTAAAAGTCAAGTAAAAAAAAGACACCTGAGCACAGACAATAATAAATTCAGTGTTGTGAAGGAGTGGGTTTACCTGGGCAGAGTGTCACTGTAAGGATCACTATGAACACAAACAAGTGAAGTTTATTTTTAGGATTAGTTTGACTGAAAAGTGAGTCATTGATCTCAGTTACATAACCCTGATGATAATAATAGAATCAGGATGACGAATGCAGCTGATGGGAGTGATAGTAGATCTGTGAATTAATTAATGAGCAGGTGATGTACTTACTGCTGAGCCATGATGAGGGGGATGTTGGGACTGTCAGACTGCAGAGGTGGTGCTCCCTCCCCGGTCCTGTAGTTAAACATAGGCAGTGTGGACAGAGGTGGAGATGCGCCACGGCTCCCTGCCATGGTCCTCAGCTCGTCTGTGTTTCCATGAATGGTGTGGTGGTGGTACAGCTGGATCCTGACAAAACAGATAATTTTGTAAACTTTTGTAATATATATCTAGGTCATTGCATTTTATTTAAAGTGTATGGAAGGGAAACTCAGAGAAGGAAGATATTTTTTCATCTTGCACTTTGAGAGTAGAGATGAGATATTGAGAATGAAATTGAAATGTGACTGTTGAGGTGTAAATGATCACAGATCACACTCAGTCTGTGCTTAGCTCCTCTCCCTCTGCTGGTGTTATTTCCTGCATGTAGGTACTATGGTTATGTGGAGGAGGGGCAGCTAAATCTTAGGTAGCTGCTCGGTTTACAAAAAAATTCAAGTGAAAGAGGAAGGCACTTTGTGGAGTTTTCCACTGGTTTAGAAACACATAACTGATACTGATGCCTCTTTATGACCTTTAAAAGCAAACTAGACTATCAGCTGTTAACGTATCTGTAATTGTTTTTAAAGGGATATTCCAGCGTAAAATAAATTTAGGGTCAAACACACTGTAACATTGAGTGATTTGGTGTTATGGTGTGTTTGACCCTAGATTAATTTTACACCTGAATATCCCTGTAAGGCCTGAAAATGCTGAAACTGTGCAGAACTACATCACATTAAAATCGGGCTTTTGTAGGGTGCAGAACCTGAACTAAAGCTACTTTCACCACTGATTAAAGTACTAATATGGTGTTAAAAATAATCAATTCATGTAACAATAGACTTGAAGAGAGCAACTCTAAGTACTTACTGATCTGTTCTTGCATCTCTCTTCGCACTGTAATAGAAGAAAGAGAGTAGTGTTTCACATTGCTGCCACTGTTGATCAGGATCAATCTGAAGCCTAAATTTGCTCAAAGGTTCGGTTCACAAAGTCAGCTGCTTAACACCAAATTCCCACAAGCATTAAACAGGAAAACATTTTGTAGCTCGGCATCGACATTTGACATTGTGGCTCAGATTATTATTCAATAGATGTAAAACAGATTCATACACTCCCTCCCGTCTGCAAAACATGATGTAGGCCAGCACCAGGGCCAGGATGAGGGCAAGCACCAGGGGCACGATCACTGTCACGATGTAGTCTGGGAAGTAGTCTCTGCTCGGGGGAGACTCTGGAGGGTTGAAGTCGACTTCAACCTCTATAATCCCCGAGCCTACAGTGGGAGCAGGTGGAGTCGGCTCCTCTTTTGTCAGATCAAACTGCAGAAGGGAGAAAAATCACAGTTATTGTTCTGTCAGGCACACGGCCACTAGGGACAGAAGTGTTACCCTGCTTTCAGTGGATTCACAGATTAAATCAGATATCCATAGATTGACTTACGGATAAATACGAGCATTTTTTTTCTCTGTTTTTGCTTTTTTTTCTTTGGAAACACTAGTGATGTTTGCATATGAGGAATGTGTGGAGAGACTTGAATTTTATACTGCAGACTTCCAGTATATTCAGGTCCCTGAGGATGTAAAACTACTTCACAAGAAACAAAAAGAAAGCTACATTTTGTATAATCTTGTGGGAATACTTACATCCTATCCTACATAACCATATAAATGCCCAAATTTCCCCTCCTACCCTTGTCTGGTCCATCCAACTCTAAGCCTGATGTTTAAAGATGACAGCTTGTGCACATAAATCTCAAAAAATAAATCTTCAGAAAACACCGCACTGCTTCTGTGGATGTGTCATGCATTTTCGTTCATGCTTCATTTGTGCCTCACCAGCTCGGTCTTGCACCAGCTGATGCAGTTGCTGGGGATGCTGCAGAAGTTACATCCTCCGGGGATTTTGACTTTGGCTCCCGCCGTGCACTGCCTCTCATGCTCGACTGTGAGCGTCTTGAGGAGACAGTCTGAGAAATGCTGCTCCGAGCCCACCTTCACATACACACTGACACAATCATATTTTTTTAAACCTCACAGTTATTCAGACTCAAACCTGAAGCCAGGCTGCACAGATCTCTCTCTCTGCCTACCCTTCAAAGTGGCCCGCCAGAGGGAGGGGGACTCTACCGCCGCGGTCCAGAGCGTTTGAAATGTTGACTATTTCCAAGGCTTCAGTGTCCCACAGCTTCTGGAGATCCTGCTTTATCTCCCCCTGAACAGTAGAGGGCAGCACCTTCTCAATCTCCCTCAGCTTGATGAAGAACTCAGCCTGGTAGGGGAGCATCGTCTCTGTGAAAGAGCAGAGATATGTTGATGAGTTACCCACATTATAATTCACTCTCACACCATCACTGACGTCTCTTAAATCACACATACCTGCGACTGCTTTGATTACAAAAATCTGTCTGGTAGTTTCATAGCTCCGTTTGTTAACTGCGTAGACCTGTAAGGAAAAACATGCAAAGAAATCATATAAATATCAAGTTAACCTGAAATATTCTTGTGCTAATGTGTACTTTTACTATGAGTTAGTCACTTCTACGTTAGTTTCCTACATTTCCCATAAGGCAGTGTACTTATAAAGAGAAGAACTGAGCAATTCTAATCACAGTTTTGTCTTTTAGTTTAAAATTAACTTTTGAGCTTAGCGTGAATGGTTTAGACTCACAGCAAATTTTTCTTAAACGTGATATTTTTTCGACAAAAACTGGGTCAAGCACCTGTTCTAGTCACCTTCAGAGTGGATTTTTGTTTGGCAGCACATGCCGCTCCAAAATCTGTTCAGTTCACCACTAATGATGCCTTTCCAGATGTGTGATCTACCCATGCTGTGAGCGCTTTTACATCCTTATACTATCGCTGATGCTGGCTCACAAAACAATTTGCTGATAACAAGCCAGGTGGTCCCTATCGAAGCGGAGGGCAAGGCGTCCATGACTTCCTAAAGGAATGTCAAATTTTGCTTGAATATGCCAGAAGTGGAGTCTTCTTTGCATTTGTGGGTGCAGCAGCAAACTGTGTGCACCAACTGTGGTTTTTGGAGGGAATTTTAAACCCAAGCATCAATTTCCACGACAGAGTCATGCCTGTTTTTGATGTCAAGTTGAGCCTGAAGGCTGCGAAAAAATCACTGCTTGTGGATTGGCTTCATTTTCCCCTTAGTGAATTATGTAATGTCCTGTCTATGAAATCCCCAAAGATTTTGAGGTAGGTGACCCTCCTCCCGTTTTACTTCTGACAGAGTGTCCTTTTTATACCCAGTTATGTTACTAACCTGTCACAAGTTAACCTTAGTAGTTCTGTGATATTTTTATTCATGTTGCTGGTATAAATTTAAGATAACATTTCCTTATGTCATTATTGCTTAATTCTTTGTCTTAACAAAGTAAGAGTTCGGACCAATGGTCTACTTTTTACTGGAAAAAGTTAATTCAGCATTTGTACCAAAACTGAAAAACGATTAACCTCAGCTTTAAGGAGAGGCAGTATTTTTTAGTAGGCCTATATGAGGTGTTTTGAATCAGCTTTACTCTGTTTTTACATCCAAATTCAAGCTACTTTCAGTTTGATTGAGACTTAAAAGCCATCTCAACACTCTCCCTCTCTTCTTCTTCAAAGACTTGCGTCTCCCTGAATATTTAATACCGGTTCAAAATAGTAGCTCCAGAGAGAAACCCGAAGCTTTTGTCTCTGAGGGTTTGACAACAAACCCTGACATTTACCACCAATGTGTCAGACAGCTGCGTGTTTTTTAAAGATACATATCTCGAGGATCTTTCATGTGTGAGCCTCACCGTCTACAGAGACGGGAAAATGAAGGAATATATAGAATTTAAGTGCTTGGGTGGAAAGTGCATGCTGTAAATGATAACTTATACCTCAACTGTGGTTTTTCCTGGGGTTGTTGGCGTGCCGTACAGGAAGCCGTTATCATAGGGATGCCTTTGGGTGAAGCGCAGCCACTCTGGGAGGTCTGGGAAACTCTGCTTGTTGCACTTAAAAATCATGGGGTCATCGTACAAGCGTCCGGCTTTAGAATCACATGACACCGACAGACAGGAATAGACACACGACAGAATGAAATCTAGAAACTGTGATTTTGCTACAACAATGACATAAGTATTTCACGTGGACTCTCACCGTAGAGTTTCGACAAAGGTTCAAAGTCATTCTGGAAAGTCTCTCTCAGCAGCTCGTATGTAAATAACCTCCCCACAGGAATGGTCAATTTGATCTCTGCGTTGGCCCCAAGCAAACCGACAGAACAAACTGTGGAGACGTTTGAAACACTACCATCAAAAGATGAATCTGAATGATTAAACTGGCCAAGAAAAGCTTAAACTTGACATCTAAGTGTGGCAACACAGTTGGAGTCAAAGTTGGGCTAGACATAATCCTTATCGCTGCAGTTGGGATCAAAGTGTAAAACCCTGTGAAACAAACTACAACATGCTTCCCTTTGTTGTTCAGCTGTATGAAAATGAAGGCATTAAAGGAACAAACTTGCCTGTGATAAAGAAGAGCCAGCTCCTGCAGCCTGCCATCTTGTTTGGGGCCTGTGATTGACAGAGCCAAGCGGAGAGGGGCTTGGTCTCAGCCAGACCATGTCAGAGCTATTTTTGCCTCCCTCACCTAAAAACATCCGGCAGTCTGTCTGCGGGTCAATCAAGAGATGTATTATTTCCTTTAGAGATATAAAACCCCATACTTGGATACTTTTGGCATAAATTTACGATCTTTTAAGTTACAGCCAACAGTTACATAATAACTTTGGTATGATTTTGGGGACTTTGCCCAAGTACTCCCAGTATTTGTTGGTATCTTGAGAGTTGCGTCAGAAAGTGTTGTACTTGACTCAGACAAGGTTTTCTTCTGGTTGGAGTTATTTTTTCATTGATAACAGGGTTAATAAAAACACCACAGGCTGAAATCAATCTACCAATATAGTACTTTCACTTCTCTATGTTAATTTCTGGTCATACACTGACCTATTTTCTGATATCTGCTTCTATCCTCAGGGTACATTTAATAAAGACACATTTGCAGACATATATACTCTACCGAATTCTGACTTTAAATTTTCCTATGTTAACAAATTATCCTCTCAGTATGCTCCTTTATCTCATAATTTTGACTGTAATTTATAATATGGACCTCTTAATCTCACAGTTATGACTAGTTTGAGTGATATTTTTTATAAGCAATTGAGCGTCTGTCTTTTTTCATGCTCCAGCAGATTATTTATGCAAGAATATACAAACACTTGACGCTACTAGATGGCACCACTCTTTCTGACAAATGATGCATCTCATGTTTGTTGGCACCTTAATCTTTGCAGGAAATAGTCTTCACCGTAGTGTAAGAGTGAGATGAAGTGGCTGTGATATTACAAGTTAGAGAAGAGGAAACCTTGAAAAGAAAGCAGATGTTATTCTATCCTATGAGTGGATTAGCCCTGCAAACAAAAACATAATGTTGAAACAGAGGCCACATGGGAAGGCTGAGCCAGCCCTGTGCAAAATAAGGGAAATGCTTTGTCTACCTTCAGTGATAATATTTAATGTATCTCCCAGCACAGATGCAGTATGAAGAAAGCAACAATGTGGCCTGTGAAGAACGGATGTGTTATTGGCCACAGAGGCTTGACGTGAGACTAATTTCACTGGGTCCTAGTGCCAGTACAGATGTTTCAGAACTACAAACATTTCTTCCCTTTATTATCCTCCAGGGGCTCTGTGTTCATGCCTTTGGATGATGGTTTCAAGGCAGTTTTTTTTATTTTAAGCTAGCTGTTTGAGACGCTTATTAAAAAAGTGTGGCAAATCTGCACAGTCGGCTATTTTAACTGTTGGCTACTAAAAATTTTACCTAGATTTTAACTAGCTTACATTTTTGTGCTCATAACTTACTGAATTTATCTCAGTTACTACCACTTTAAGTTAACTGATGTCATAAACTAAATGGTAAGCTTCATGTTTGTGGTTTATGTGCCACCTTAGCTTTGGTTAGCCTAACCGTGTGCTCTTTGCTGGTTTTAGCTAACAAGCCAGAGCTTATTTTTAACTTACCCACAACAATACAGACCTATATATTAAACATTGGTTTGACTATGAGTGTGTAGCCTATAACCTGCCAGAAATGAGCCTGCAAAGCACGTAGCTTTGGTTAGCCTAACCGTTTGCTCTGTGTTGGTTTTGGCTACATGTTGGCTATTTAAAATATTACAATAATTTATACCAAGCTTTCATTTTTGTATTTATAACTTATTAGATTTATCTAAATTACTACTACTTTAAGTTAACTGGTGTCATAATCTAACTGTTAAGCTTCATGTTTTTGTTGTATGTGCCACCTTAGCCTTGGTTAGCTGAACCATTTGCTCTGCTTTGGTTTTAGCTAACAAGCCAGAGTTTATTTTTAATTTAGCCACAACAGTACGGATCTATCTATTAAACATTGGTTTTACTAGTATGAGTTTATAGCCTATAACCTGCCAGAAATGAGCCTGCAAAGCTTAAAATCAATCAATTTTGGTGTATGTGTCACCTTAGCTTTGGTTAGCCGAACCATTTCCTCTGTTTTGGTTTTAGCTAACAAGCCAGAGTTTATTTTTAACTTAGCAATACAGACCCAAATATTTAGCGTTGTTTTATTACTATGAGTCAGGACTGTTTTTGGTTTATGTGCCACCTTAGCTTTGGTTAGCCTAACCGTTTGCTCTGTTATGGTTTTAGCTAACAAGCAAGAGTTTATTTTTAACTTAGCCACAGCAATACAGACCTAACTATTAAGCGTTGGTTTTACTAGTATGAGTGGGTAGCTTATAACCTGCCAGAAATGAGCCTGCAAAGTTTATAAATCAATCAATTTATTTTAACTGTTGATTCACGTCTACGCAGAATCATAGATGGGATTACACAGTCTGGAGTTGTTAGCGTGCTACGGAAGTGGACGGGCACTAGGACCCCGCCGCCTCCCGCTCCATGCAGCAGCACTCCGCCGCTGCGAGAGGAGGACCAGAAATCTGCAGCTCACAGAATGAAGAGATCAAAATGATGCTGCCTGCAAAAAGGGATTAAACGTAAGCAATCTGTCGTCAGCTGCGGTAAATCTGCACTTCATTACTGCTCCACTTCTCTACTGTTCAAATATTTCTCATAGCTGTGGCGAATATCCGTGAGGGCTAGATTTGCATTGTTGATAGTGCAGGAGGTGGCGAGCTAATGACAGATGCATCGTGCTCACTTTCTCCGTTGCATTGGACCAGAATTGCAGCGGATGCAGGCAGGCCTTTAATGCGAGCTGTTGTTTTTGTTTCTCTCCCATCTGCCGGTCTGTAGTCTGGGCGCCACCTCGCGAGGGATCGGCTGCTGGTGGATATCGCGGATTCGCCACCAGGGTTGTTGAGACATGGAGACATGCCGTCGCTGAGCATCCGTCGCGACGCTTGAATGACCATGATGAAGACCGAATCTACATCCAAGAGCACCGGCTCTGGCTCCACGCTCAGGAGCCCATCCCCGCACAGAAACGCGTACGAGGCGGGGATGCAGGCCCTGAAGCCCGTCAAAGACAATGCAGCGAACGGGGACGTGCAGGAGGGCCCCCGGGGGCGCAGGTACGGCTCTAACGTGCACCGTATCAAGAACATGTTCCAGCAGATGCAGACCACATCCCCGGCCGACGCGGAGGGGGAGGACGTCGTCAAGAACGCGGACAAATCCGTGCGCCTCACCCTCCCCAGAGCTGGAAGCCTGAATGAAAACGTGGACCACAGCGCGCTCCTGAAGCTCGGATCCACCGTGTCCGAGCGCGTGAACAAGTTTGACACCAAACCGGAGAACGGGCACCAGCGGGCCTCCTCACCCAGCTACTCCAAGCTGCAGGAGACGCGCCGCATCTTCGAGCAGCAGCAGGAGAGGCAGCAGCAGGAGAAGCTCGCAACCACCAGGGTCCTCCTGAAAACAGACAAGGCCTCGGGCTTTCAGGATGGCAGGCTGGACGTGGTGGCGCGTTTCAACGGCAGCACAGAGTCTCTGGACAGCCTGGACACGAGTGATGCCGTGTCCCCCACGGTCAGCCAGCTCAGTGCTGTGTTTGAACGCGCAGCCGAGCTGAGAAACAACCTCCACCGCCTCTCATCCACCCCACCTCTCCCCTCCAGGGGGGTAAGCGCCAAGGTTGGCGTGTTGAACTCTAAAATAATCACCAAAAGGGCTTGTACCTTCGCAGCAGGCAACAAGGAGGATGAGATTAGCAATCAGAATGGGCAAGAGGGGCCTCAGAGGGGCCAAAGAGGGAGGGCGGCACCTCAATCTGGGGGTATTAATGGGGGTCAAAGCGCCCAAACTACTGAACGCGTCAGTTCTGCAGGGGAGCAGAGGGGAAAGACAGTGGCGGATGCAGGCGTGGAGGCGAAATCTGATCTCAAACCTGAGGAATACTCTGTAGCAAAGGAGCCTAAAAGCACATCAGTTCAAGGTGACATCTCTGTGGAGAATGGAGAAACCACAGGCCAGAAGCAAACCTCGCCAAAGGGGAGTGATACGCTCAGGCAGGAAATGGAGATGGGTCAGGACGCAGAGGAGGAGGAGGACGAAGACAGGACAGTCAGGGAGGACCAGTCAGGTAGGGACTCTGTGGATATCAGTACCTACAGCGCCGTGGGGGAGGATTTTGGAGGAAGCCAGGCGGACGAGGAGGAAGACGAAGTCGACGACCGCTATGAGCCCGAGTCCAGCTGTGTGGAGATTTCTGGATTGCCTGTGGAGGAGGAACCGCCCCCTTCGAGGAAGATCCGCTTCAGCACAGACCCCATCAAGGTGAGAGTGGGCAAACACATATCGGGGAGGGTTTAAACCACATTTGTGCATCAAAACATCCATTTAAAAACCATCAGTGACACAAGAGTGAGAACAGTGGACTGATCCACCATCTTTACGACACCCTGGTGGGTTTATGATGAAGAGCAGATGTGATGTTGACATTTTTAGCATCAAAGTGATACAACCAAAAGAGCATTCAGCATGTTTTTATTCATGTCAGACAGAGTTAAAGCATCTTTATTAATACAGACACTATAATTAAAACCACAAATACGTCAACTGCATGGTAGTTTCATTGTGAATTGTGAGCCTTATTTACTTGTCGGTCACTTATGTCCTCAGTATGATTATCACGTGCGTACATGATAATGACTCGTTCCCACAACATAATCATATTGGGTGCACAAGCTAGAGAAGTGTGTTTGCACGCAGTAATAAGGATAATTATATTTTCTTACAAGTAATCATCTGCTTGGAACAGGTTATTATCTTGTGCACACAAGCTTCTTTATCTTGTGCACATAATAACTTCTTTATACCCATAAAATGATGATTTATGCACTTGTGGGAACATGTTTTATCTTGTGCGCACAAGCCATTATCTTGTGCCCTAAACTGATCATAACTCGTGTGAATTAGTAGTTTTCTTTCGAGCACAATCTGATAATCAATTTGAACACTTCGCACACAAGATTATTATCCAATTTTGTTTACGCTATAAAACTGACATTTTAGAAATCTGGAGGTTTTTATAAGTACATCTGAATCTTACTATTAAAGCTACTGTAAGGAACTTTTTTAAAGGTTATGAAATAAACTGAGACCAATATGATACTAAAAAAGAAATAGGACTAAATAAGACAAGATTGACAATTTAAATTTAACTCTTGAACGACAACAAGAGAGCTGTTTTTGTTAATTAGCACAGCTTATACAAGGATGGTTTTGTCCACAGGAGGCGCCAGAATCAGCACAGACAGGAAATTCCTCACAGGAGCTTTAAATAGTCCCCAAAATAAAGTTTGACTGATCTCACACCCTTCAAGGTCCTTACGCACCAGGAACCACAAAATTTTGAAATGTTCGGAGGCGAATTTTAACGGACTATAAACATCAAGAGCGATGTGATTCTGCGACTTTCCGGGGGCAAACAAGACGCGATTAGCTTACGAGCTAAAGTTACTTAGCACAGATGAAAGTTAAAACAAAGACGTTTAGCAAACTGTTAAAGCACACAAACCATCGTCATATGAGAAATCTGACGCTATGGCTGTCCACAAGTCGTCCTTCAGGTCGTTATCTTTGTAGTATTTGTGTTTTTTATCAAAAAGCACTCTGTTCTCCGACACGTAAACAATCAGCATATACCGGTGAATCTGACGTCGCAACAACAAGCAATCTGATTGGTCAGAAGTAGACACAAGAGTATGCCAAACTTTAAAAAATTCGACCGTGATACGAAAACATAAATGCCCCAATATCGCAGGACGGGAAAACGTCGCTGATGTGAATGCTTGAATTGACAGGATACGGGTTCGAAAAAAAATATTGACGTCTGAAATAATTGCACGAAAAAAACAGTCCTGGTATGTAAGGACCTTCAGTCTGTAAGAATCAGCTTATATCAGAAGATTTTGTGTACAATTTTAGAGCCATTCAGGACTTCCTTGCCTTCAGTATACAAACAAATGATGAGGCAAGCTACTATGCAAACTTAGTAGTCACTTTCTTCCCTTTTTGAATCTATTTTATGATTTTCTTTTAATGCATTTGCATCCCAGCATGCGCTTTTTCTGTCCTGAGTGTTGAGAGTCTTGTTGAACTCGGCCTTAAAGCTTATCTACCGTGACACAGTCATAGCCGGCTCCTCTGTCAGCTCTTTTAATGAACTCACTCAGCCTCTGCCGGTGTCAGAATGATGCTGACATTTTGATTTCACCCCTGCCTCAACACAAGGCTTTGCACACACCACGAACACACAGACCCCTCCCTTCAACAGTAGCCAGCTGCTAATGGATGGTCCGGCAGCATTCCTGCTGTGCAGCTGACATGGGCCCCCAAAAGAGCCTCCATGTAGATACTTATCTGAAATGCAGTGGGAGCTGCTGCTGCTGCTTCTGTAAATAATTGCCAGGGGAGGAGGAACAAAGAGATGTGGATAATTAGTCCTGTTTTTAGAGAGAGAAGTGGATACTCTTCTGTGCCGTGTGAAATGCGTGGTTAGTGGACAGTGTATGGGAAGCTGAGAGAGGAATGGAGTGTTTTTGTGTGCAAGAGAAAGAGGGAGGAAGTGAGAAAAAAAAGAGTGAGATCTCTTCTCGGTCCAGTGAGATGAAAGAAGCGTAGAGACGAGGAGAAGGAGGAGTTGATTTAAAGTGTCTCTGTGTGTCTGGGGGTGGTGTAATGATCTGGAGAGGAGCATCAGATCCTCGCCGGCTCAGTCTCGCTGCTCGGCTCTGCCTCGAGGTCTGGAGCGTTCAGAGACTCTGCCAGCTGAAGTGGGCCCTGACACTGCACATAAAACACACATTCCCTCATGCAGAAAACCGTTTCAGTGACAAAGGGCTCCTGTCCCTTATCACGAGCAGTCATGTCGAAAGTTGCTCTTGCTATACAAGAAGAGGGATTCACATTTCAAAACTTGAGAGACAAATCAACCTGATACCTTAACGGGGAAATAGAAAAACTTTAGGGCATTTTAATTCATTTCTAACAGATAAAACTGCTTATCACAAATTAGAAACAGCAACAGAAACTGTGTAGGCTTCACTTTTCTGCTGAATTACAGGCTGTTTGAGCTTTTATAGAGAAAGTCAGCATCTTTTCCTAAAACATAAGTGGAACAGAAAGTGATGTGACAGTGAACTCCAGTTGGCCTCTCCGGATGATGAAGTTGTAGACAAAAAATGGAAACGTAAAATCAGTCTGACTGACACTTTTTGGCAGCTCAGCTAGCAGCCCCCTCACCAGACTGTCTCTGTTCGCCAAAGGGAGTGAAAGAAGCATCAATTTAACAGGAAACAAGTTAAGTTAGCTATGTGATGATTTTAGAGTTGTTTTCTTACCACAATAAAGACACAGGGACATAAATTTCTAAAGGGAATCAACTTATGTTACAAGATAACAGTAATTATGTTATAAAATGAAGTCGATAAAACCACATAATGCTATTTTAAGGGGTCACTGATCTTTGCAGAGCATTGTCTCCTTCAAATCAACCCAAGAACATAATCTGTTGTGGACTGAGCCAACTTGAGTGAATTTCAGCGTGAGAAAGTTATTAGAAAGTTAAACGTGTGTTTGAGACGACCTGGCTGCAAAGACAGCAAACCTCTGTAGACGCAAGTGTGATTGGATCTCAGTTAGGGCTGGGCGATCAACAGAAAATTTACCGGCACTGAAATTGACGTCATTTTGCCCATGTTGGTATATTTGGTGTCAAAAAATAAATAAATAAAAGTTGGTTTTGGATGTGTGTAGGTAGGCTATGGTCCCATGTCCCTTTAAGACGCTGTCCTACATCGGAGACTCCACCCCATTCAGTTGGTTACAAAGAGGGAAAGACAGGTGAGGAGATGGAGGACTGTTCAAAAGTTGTAGCGGCCGAAGTCGACCAAGTTAAAGTGGGAGGGGGTGAGCAGCTTGTGGAGTAGTTATCGTCCATTTATCATTATCGAGGTGAACTGCTCAATATATTGTGATATTGATTTGAGACTATATCGCCCAGCCCTAATCTCAGGTGTTAAAAGGATAAGGTAATCACACCAGCGAAGGTGCTCTTCATCTCCTCCTTTATCAACAACTTTCTAGAAAGACTTTCCTTGAACGTCATAACTGCAAGCAGAAGTAAACTTTTGACTAACAGAGCTCCAACTGTGCACGTTGAGATAGCCGAATTAAACTAAACTTTGCAATTTATGTGATAAAACCAAGTTTAAGAAATATAAAAGTGGCACAAAGAACTAATTTCATCCTGGAGAGATCATAGACACTACAAGATTGTTGATAACGCTGATATCTAAGTGCACATGTGTGGAGCTACGTCATTCAAATATGAAGATTAAAGTTAAGATATTGACTTCTTGTAGTCTGTGGACTTTTTATTATAAAAGTTTGGAAAAAACATGACGAGAGCAACTTTCGCTGGTGAAATCACCTTGTTTTCCAATAATCTGGTGGTCCAACTTTGCACTGCATATGCGTTAAGCTGTGTCTTGTCTGTGTCTGCTTGGTACTACTGTTTGGCTTCACATCTCAATGGGCTGTAATGAGGCTTCGCTGTCTTTTCTATAGACTGTTAACGGTTTAAATGTTGTCCCTCTTGCGTTTCTACAACAACACAATTGGTTGTTGATGACCTGACTTTTTGTGAAGGTTGTGGGCATAATAATGGTGGGATTTTGTTGTGGCGTTGTTGCAGGGTTGCTAGGTGAAAGAGGCTGATGTCAACAAAACAGAGATACTACAGATACTTCTACAGTAAACCTTAAACAATACTCATCTTTAAATAAAAGCTAAAATCTATATCTATATAATAAAGCCAACCTGATTTGATGCGAACTGTCGTCACGCTGAAAATCCCAATAATCCCTTATAAATAATGCGTGAGCTCTGTACATCCATCATGTAATGGAAATTGTAAACGCAGGAGAAAAACAGACTCGTACCACATGATTTTATCCTCATGAGATCAAAGATGGATCGCGGCAGGAAGCGGAGTGTGCGCGCCGCGACAAAGAAGTCATAACTCTCTAAAAGACAGAATTTGGTTGTGACCCTGCGGCCGTCATCGCAGAATAACCTCCTATGGAGTCTTTTCACACTGTATCAGAGCGGCCTTTGTTATGGAGATTGATGCTGGGGTGGATGAGAGTAAGAAAAAAGGGTCGAGGGGGTGTTGAGGTCAAATGGGAGGGGCGTTATTATGCAGCTCAAATGTCATGCGAGTGTATAACTGCCTGCTCTGAAGTCACTCAGTGTCAGTCGGTTACTCGTGCTCATTTCGCTGCAACAGCTCCGCTTTCGGGTACAATTAAGTCTTGTTGTTATGATGGCGCTTGGAAGTCTGGGTGCACGTCTGGCTTCGTCCCCATTTTACACTAAACGCTGCTCCCTGTCTGTCTGTGTCCTCTAATACTGTCAAAAATAACAGCTCAGCTCCCGGGTGGAGTTCACACTACTCCCCTTTGTTTCTTCCCTCGCTCCTTCTCCTTCTCCCTTTTCGCTCTTTGTCACCAGTCTCCTCCTGTCGGTAAAAATAGCAGCATTGTTATCGTCACAGACTCGCCTCACTTTTCAGGGCCGCCTGCCTCACTTGTCGAACACAGGAAGCTGCCTCTCATGTCTTATTTATTCGTTTAGCTTGTTTGTTTTGGCTTCTTGTGATATCGCCCGGCACCCACGCCGTAGTTTATTATGAAGCCTGCTGGCATGTTGTGAATTTTAATTATTTATCCTGTTGCTGGAGGGGGGAAAATCTCCAAAAGAAAAGGAGGTACTCTGCGTTGGACTTGCACTGATTCCCTCGAAACTATAAGCTCCAATTATTCTCGCTCACCTGGTGCACTTATCACCTCGCTTACTCGTACACTTTCACCGCACACACGCTATCTGGTGGGTTTTCTGCTGCCTACGCAAGACTGACTGAACAACAGTCCTGCCAGGCCGCTCTCTGAGAACACCTATGATTTTCTGTCTCTCTGTATCATTAGCACAGGCAGTGAATGTTCCTGTGTTATAATAAACTCGGGGTATTAATTTAGTAAAATCCAGAGGACAATAATCGAGTTCGAGGATGCAGCCATCACAACAAAATTATAGTGCAAAAAAAAAATGCAAGCTTTCTCGGTTTCACTGCTCATTCGGCCAATGAGGGATTGCCTGAGGAGAGGTAATTCATCACCATATGTCAACCTATCCTCATACTGTCTATTACTTAGACTCAGCAGGCCGGCAGTTTCTCGTATAGTACATTACTCACACACACACAGGAGAGAGGTGGGGGACCAGACAGATTATCAGCAAGGTCATTGTGCCCCACTTCCTCTCAGTCCTGCAGGCGTGGTGGTGGTGGTGGTGGTGGGTTTCAAGCATTTTACCAGTAACTGCGACAAAACCCGATTATGCAACGTGGCTCCCTGGTGATGTCAGGTTGCTGTTTGCTCTCGTGCAACCTGCAATCGCGTCGTCTGGTCCAGCCGTCTGCGAGGCTTCACCTGCGCTGTAGGTAGGATTTAGACGCTTAATGTTACTTACAGCGACTTTAATTGATCCCCAGGGCACACATTAGAGCTTAAAGGTTTAGTGTTTAATAACAAAAAGGTTTAATCTTTTTAAACAGACCCTATAGACGGCAGTCTGCTCAACCCCACCATTCAGAGTCTGCTCATTCCTATTAGAGATGCCAGTTTGAAAAAATTAAATGCAGATTTAGTCACAAATTTTTGCAAATATTTGCTGTAAAGAAGATTAAAGATGATGTTTGTTGTGAGAAAAGAGTCTTAAACCGCTGTAATGGCTTTCTGCATTAGGGGCGTCCTTTCATGGGAGTATAATGATGAATGAAAATATACTTTTTAAAGCTCCTGTAGGGAGTTATTTTGACATTTACAAAATTGACTGATTTTCATATTAATGCCTTTTTATGATATATAAAGTCAAAAGAGACCATTGATGCTTTTTTTCTGTTATTTTTAATTCTGTAGAGCAGTGGTTCTCAACTGGTTTCACTCTGGGACCCACATTTTCCCATGGTCCTTAACTCACGACCCACTTTTATAGAATTCAAACCAAGCAAATTCATTTTGTATATATAAAAAAAACCGTTAAAGACTCAAATCTTTAACATAAATCTACTTGTTTTATTGAGTAAAGTGAATTCCAGAGCACATGAAGGGGACAACATTGGGACGACAACTACTGAAGTTGCTTATACAGAAAATATTGAATATCTAATAAATGATGCATTAAATATTGATTTTTTTGACCAGCTGTTCGTGACCCATCCAGACTGTGTCCGCGACCCACTTTTGGGTTGGGACCCACCAGTTGAGAACCACTGCTTTACACCAGTGGTTCTGAAGTCCAGTCTTCGAGGCATACTGTCCTGCATGTTTTGGATGTTTCCCTGCTCCAACACACCTGATTCAAATGATCAGCTCGTTATTAAGCCAGTACAGAGCTTGATAATGAGCTGATCATTTGAACCAGGTGTGTTGGAGCAGGGAAACATCCAAAACATGCAGGACAGTGGGCCTCGAGGACTGGACTTGAGAACCACTGCTTTAGAGGATAGGTGTCAGCAAAGCAGCTAAAAAAAACCACTTTTTCACACTTGACGCATAAAATATTCACAACAGACATCACATTTCGCTGTTAAATATGAGCAATGTTGTGATTTTTGTTGTTGTCTTGGCAAAAATCACTTCTTAAGCATGCAGGAGAAGATTAGTCGGTTTGAAAAGTTTTGAATGATCGCTCAGAGGGCTGCTACAGCTAGCTCACTGGCAGTCTGCTACTTCTTCATTTATCCTGTTTTTAATTAATGTGGCAACCATTGTGAAGGGCAGCTACTGACCCTTAAACTATTACTGTGTGCGTGTTTTTAAGCACGATTTAATAAATAGATGCAGTTCTATACATATACATATACATATATTTCTAACAGATGGTTATTTTCATGTCGAACCATCATAAACAGCGTTGTATCCTGTGTCGTGTTTGTCAGATCCTCTGTCTCTGACCTTATTCCTGTGCGGCCGTGTCCATCTGCAGGGTCAGCGTTAAGCCTAAACATGACTGCTGACCAGAGACCAAAAGAGAAAAAAAACAGACAAACAAGCTCTGGTTCCATGTAGCTGTCACTGTGACAAGTCCGCCATATCCGTTTTATTGGCTCGTGGGGACGGCAGCCTGAACTACATCTTTATTTTCTGTTTACATGTCGCACATCTGGGATCTGGATTAACCCCCCAATTATAGAGGGATTTAGGAGCAATTACCTGCCACTTGTGGACCGTGTTTGACCCGAGCTCACCGGGGAGCCAGTCCATGATGGTGTCGCCAAAGTGTTAAGAGGGAAAGTGCCTCTCTTTGGTCTGCACATGCTCAGTTTTGACAGCTTGTTTGAGAGCATCACGCAAGCATCCTGACCCAAAGAATAGGGATTAACTGCAGCAGATATGCGCAGAGGAGTGTGTCGAAAAAGCCTTTATTTGCGTCATAATCGTCTCTATTTGATTGAATTGGAGAGCAGCAGAGGAGCTCATATTCCCAAATTAGATGGAGGCTAGCATGAGTAAGAAAAATGATGTAAAAGTTGGGCGAATTACAGAATTAAGAGGGTGGAAAGACGCTATTTTTGTTGTGAAAAAAAAACAGGGACACCACCTCCACACTTCCTATTGGCTGGATCCAGAATTAGATTGGGTTTTTTGGAGAGTTAAGAGGGAAAGAAACACAGCGGTCGTGGGCAGTGGATGGAGGGGGAAGAGGGACTCGCTGGTTTAACCACCACAGGGATACCCAATCACAGCATAGCCAGAGGGCACCCAGGCTGGAACCGCTCCGTCATTTAACCGTCTCCCTCTCACGACAACTGCATCGTAAAATGGTATTTACCGTCATTTTAGGGGCTATTTTTGATACCTTTCGCTGTTCCCAGCAGTGTGTCCTCCTAGAAGACACAAACACGTCTTACTAGCTGGTGAGCGGCTCGTGCTAGCTGCCCACAGAGCTTTTGTAGGACATCCCAGGCGGCTGGTAGCAGAGGGGAGGGAGGGAGGGAGTTTCCTGGCCATCTGTTAGCTCCTCTGACCTACTATCTGCCACAACTGGAGCAGCGTCCGTCTCCAGCCTGGCCCTGCCCACTTCTCCCCTCCTCCTCCACCACCACCACCACCACCACCCGACTTTAATCCCAATGTTTATCTTCCAAAGATAGCCACCTCACCGTTGGAGGAGTCCGTCTTTTACTCTAAGGTTGGGGTTAAAGGTTGCGCCAAGCGGGATCTCATTAGCCTGTCTGCGCCGTGCAGGATCATGGCCGCAAATCTCCTTTAGGAAGCGAAAGTGTTAAATCTCACTGAGGGTGTGCAGGACTGGTTTCTGAACTCGCTCAAGGCTCGAGGTCAAAATGCACGTCTAATCAAAGCTGTTTTTTTTTCCCCCAGAAGCTTTTGCAGCATCGTGGGCGTTAAATGAGGGCACTACAAGCCACCAGCTGTGGCCTCTTGATCTCTATAACTGAAGGAGGGGAGCGGTGCCACGTGAGAGCTGCACAGTGGGCACGCAGGCTCCGAGTGCTCTGTTGTTGTTTTATTCTCCGTTACTTAGGATGCAAACAGTGTATTTTGTGTGTCTGTAATCCACATTCTGCTAATCCCTCTAAATACGAAGGTAACCTAAATCAAAAGCCATTAGACTTCAGTGCTGCTCCCATTCGTGTCTGTCATCCGCAGCACAGCCAGTCTCAATTCGAACCACCCAAACTAGCAAAACTGCTATTCAAATAATGCTTCAAGTTTTTGTTTTAGCCATGGCTTCATCTTTCAGTTCCATTTTTGAATAAAAGCTCGGTCTGTAATTTCTACTTAAACTGGCTTAAACCCCCTTAATCCTCCACTTCCTGCATTAAAGTCTTTGAAGCAGTTGATTGTAAATTGGGACTCGACCAGTTCAAAAAAGCAGAAATTAACTGTGACACTGTCAAACAAGGCAAACTAAGGCCAACACCTGCAGCTATACTGGATGGGACTATTACGGTATCAATATGACAAACTGATGCTGGAATATAACAGAAATAACATCCCTGTAAGACTTTAAAGAGATATTCCAGCGTAAAATTAATTTAGGGTCAAACACACCGTGACACCGAGTCAGACACCCCCTCGAGAGATGAATGTTGCTGACTGGCCGCTTGTTTGTAGTGAGCCCTCGAACAGCTCAAGGAAGAACATTTATGATCATTTCTTCATGGAAATGCAATCAGACTGAGATGCTAAAGCAGAAGAACTACTGCGTCTGTAGTGAAAAACGATTAATATGGTGATTATTACTTAAAGGAAATGATCATAAATGTTCTTCCTTGAGCTGAGTCACCCCACTGTAGTAGTCCGTAATGGACTGGCCAGAGGTCTCGCTACAAACAAGCGGCTGCTGGAAGAGAGTAGGTGAGCTGTGTTTAGTCTCTTTGCTAAAGAAATTAGGCAAAGCTAAAAAGATGTTTGATGGCTAGTACTATGCCTAGTTAGGTGCTGTTCTGAGCATTATTTGTGGCTATAGAGTGGCTTTTTGGTTGAGGTTTGTGTATGGTTCCAAACACAGTCTTAACATTATACAGATGTTTTGGGGTTGTGATTGTACGCTCATGACAGATTTTATTACTTATTTCTGTAGAAAAACATCATTGAAATTATTTAAAGTCAAGAGTGCATTCAATGGTCAGGTGGCGGCGAAAGCACCCTCTGCTGAATTGACTGCAAACAGCTCCGGACGACTCCATGCGCTGATTTGCTCTATATTTTGGAAGTGAACGACAATTTACAGTTTGAATGTGAACTTTTGCCCGCAAGTTTGAAGACCTAAACTTTAACAAAGTGACATCCCTAGGACTGATTTAGTGACGCCAAATGAAATACTGTTGTCAGCCAAAACAACCATCTAGCTCCCCTTCAAAGTAAGTTTTACAGACTATGGAAAGCTGAATGATTCTTGTGTTTCTGTTCATTTTGTTTCCTTTCTGCATTCCTCCTCCGCTTTGCTAATCCCGTGCACATGAGCCGCATTTGTCAACAGGGCTGTCAACCTTGGCGTTAAAAACCCCACAGCAAGTCGAAACGCTGGCATGAATCAGTATGATAAGAACTAAAAATACCAGTTCTTGTGTTTGAGAAGGATAAATAAGTATTTTGATTTTGAAGCTGCAGTATATTAGCTGCACATCTAGTTTGTATATTTCTATTTTAGTGTTTATTTGAGGAATAAGGTGCTGTAACTAACATTTGAAACTACATCAGCTTCTTGATATTTTATACCCAGTGAATTTTTCCTCACATAAGGGGGGTTATAAGTGGGAGTGGGGCAAAGATAAAAAGTGTAAACATGACATTGTAGATTTTTTTAAGATGCTTTTATTTTGAAAATGAGAATATTGAGGGATGTGATAGGTGGGTATTAGACAGGGGGCTCCAAGCTTAAAGTTTGAGCTGTGTCCCATCCCATCTGTTAGTATGGAGGAGGCGGGGCTTATGACCTATACCATGGCTGGTCACAAGGGGGAGCTCCACATGTTTTGGCTTTACTTTTGGAAAACAGTCTTAATGTTCATGATAGTCAATATTTCAAACATAATAAAGCTTCATGAAAATTATTATTTCATATCAATTTAAATCGTAAATTTGACCATAAGAAGGGGGCGCTAAAGCTGACATAAATCCAATATCCTTACTGGAGCTTTAATTTTATTTCTCTTTACAGCTATGGAATTATAATCTTACATTTTTCTGCATTAAATGAAACTTCCAGCAGAATTTCTTCTTTTAAAATCTTCATTCATGTGAGTTAACTTTGATGGCAGTGATTTGGCTCGAGCCTGTAACATTTTTCAGCTCTTTTTCCTCTCCAGTGTCGCATGAAACTACATTGATGGTGAATAAATCTGTGTGGAGAGGGGCTGCTAACGTTTCAAAGGCACTGTCAAAAACTGACAGGCTCTGTACTGTGTGGCTGCCCGGGGAGACGGGGCCCACACAGCTGAAGGGTAGCGCCGAAGCTACGCAACGCTACTTAGTGACACAGATGGACAAACTAAACAGCAGAGCGAGAAGTGAGAGAGATAAAGTAAACAAAGACTCGAGAAAAGTGTGAAAGTGTCGCAGCAGAGGGAAGAAAAGGAGTCCGGAGAGAAAAGATGAGAAATTGAACCAAAAAAAAACGGAAGAATGTGTGAAAAAAAAGAAGCTTAGGTAATTAATATGGCTGGCAGAGCATGCAAAGGTGGTGCGGCATGCATAATCACCTCCTAAGACTGAAAGTGAGGCTTTAAAGATTCAGCTTACTGTGTGAGTGTGAGTGTGTGAGTGAGCAGCTGCAGAGGGCCTCCATTAGCATGCTGGAGGTGCTTATGTAAACTGTCATGCTGTTGGAAGAGAGTGAATGTAGGAAGTTGAAACAGAGGCCTCTGTCTTCATGAGAGCAACTTCAGTGGTTGTGATTGATTCCCCCCTGAGAGTCTGATAAACATTACTGCTGTGAACCGATACCGCTTCACCGGAGGCCTGGAGGAAACGTCTCGGCTGAAACGGTCGATACCTCTGAAGTGCATTATGTCTGCATTAACACTGGCGGTCAGCTTGTATCAAACCGCATATCCAGCTCATATCTGACAGCTGCTTGTATATCCATGACATCTGAATAATAAGTGATGAACTACATCAGACTCTGTGATCCTGTGTTTACTCAAATTAAAGCTCCTGTAAGCGGTTTTTAGCTGCTTTTGAAGGAGACAGTTGACGCCAATTTTTGACATTTCTAGATCATGGATGAACAATATGTGCGTGTATCCTCAAGTATAACAAAGTATGAAGTCAAGTTAGGCTGTATTATGGTACATCCCAGGGGTGGGAAATTAATTTTTACATGGGGCCACATGAGAAACCTGAACTGTGTTGGAGGGCCGAACCAACAATAACTTCAACTTCAAACCAGGGGGGTTCACACATACAGATAAGCAACTACGAGTTAAAAACAAGCCCAAAAAAAGCGAAACCGTGACTCACGAGTTTTACAAGCGACTTCTGAGAAAAACACGCCTAAAGTCATTTATAATAAGCGAACTTGGCAGCTATGAGGCATCTACGTATATTTTGCTGATGTTTAAACTTGTCTCTGTTCCGGAATGGAGATCTAGGATGTACGCACGTGCGCGCAAACAGAAATAAAGGTCTTGTATATACTGTCAGATGTCTGCTGCATCTCTCTAAATCAGTGTGTAGTTGTCTGCCTTCGCGAAGAGGAAAGCCGGAGCGCATCCGTTTGGGTGCATTTCCGTATATTCGCCATTGTGTCGTGTGGAGTTTGTTCGCTCGTTTGATTGGTCAGGTTTGGGTGCGTTCCCTATTATCACCAGCATGTCCAGCAGACTGCTTGACATAGTTTCGACAAAGAAGAAACAGCTTCACTGGTGGTGGTCAGGAGGAAGAGGAGGAGGAACTCGTTCTGAAAAAGGGTGCAAGTCGCGACATTGGTTGTCTGGAGATTCTTCAGATTTAGAAAATCTTACAATGTTCAAAAACAATACTATGGAAAATGTGTCGTGTGGCTATCGTCGCTGGAGGTGGAAACACCAGCAACCTCTTCCACCACCTAAAGATTAAACTCGCCAAGCTCTATTATGAGAGCCAAAAGATGTGTGGTGCACTTGCTGCACCAGAAACTAAAGTTGCAGCAGCTCCTCTCATATAAAAGAGCTTTGCAGAGTCTCCAGACTAGTCTGACATTTCGCAACAAATGCGACAATATGTTTTTTTTCAAGCCATTAATTGAATTGACAGGGAGAAAAAAAACATTCTGTGATATATACCGTTACCAGGATATAAGATTTCGTTCATACCACCCAACACTAGTATGAAGAAAAAAAGCATGCAAAAATCTCAAGTGTCACATTCTCAGGAACAACTTCAAGATTATAAATGATTCAGCACGTGGTTTAGGGTCCACAGGAAGTGATGCGTTTGTGTTTTCAGTAGCAGTTTCTATTCTTAGAGAGGAAGTGGTGAGCAGCACAGTACAGTTAAAAAAACAACAGAAAACCACAAAGTTTTTTGCTTAAAGTTTTGAAAGTGTGAAACAGGCCTTGGTTTGTCTGTTCGAAGCCCTCAGAGGTTGTAGAGGAGAACAGGCATTTTCCATCTGCTGCCAGTTTTTATACTTAGCTGACTGTCCCAGAGTGGATTTGAAATGTTGGTATCAAAGTGGGACTGGTCGTCTCATCTCACTTTCTGAAATAGGGAGTGCAGCGAAAAGCCTGAGCACATTTTCACACTGTTTTACATTTTCTTTCGTTTGTCTCGAGCACATCCACATGAGCTGAAAGTTGTCTTGTCTGTATGTCTGACCTGGCGTCTCTGTTTCCTCCTCCAGGTGTTCGCCACCTACCCCAACGAGGACTATGACAGGCGTAACGAAGACGTGGATCCCATGGCGGCGTCCGCAGAGTACGAGCTGGAGAAGAGGGTGGAGAGGCTGGACCTGTTCCCCGTGGAGCTGGAGAAAGGTAACCGGCTTTCAGGTCTTTCCTCAGAGCTTAGGGTTCACAGATTTAGTGTCAATGACTGGTTTCCATTTTGGGGGTACAGACTCATCTAGCTTCAAACAGGTTCATGTCCACCTGTCAGTCAGCTTAGCCACGCCCCTCTTAGCCTTTATTGAACCAGAATGGATGAGCTGTTGAATCATTCACCCTCCAAAGAGTTTGCATATGAAGAAGTGAGCTGTAAAGCCTTTTTAAGAGGCTTTTATTTTGGAGGAACTGGTCTTCTCTGTATTTTATCATTGATTTTATCTTATTTTAGGTTTTATTTGTTGTTTAGTGTTATTGATTGTTGTCATTCTTTCAGGTTCTTGTTAAATTTGACACTTCAGGCTGCATGTTTTTGTTGCTTTTTTTTGCATGAAAAGTGTGATACAAATAAAGCTGGATTGGATTTATTATGGACTCTGGTGAAAGACAGCCTCAAACGGACCCTTTAAGAACTGCAGTTTTTGCTCAAATTGCCTTTAAATTTTGTCCATATGGTGATTCAAATTCTTGATATACTGTCTTTATAATATCACTTAAATCCAGGTATATCCATCCGAACTGTTTGAACCTTAGCTGCACAAAATGTGTTCAAAAGTTTTGATCGCACAGAAAACTCAAAGTATTTTCACTCGCTCTTGGGCATGAAATAAAATGGGTAGAGGAAATTTAACATTTCTGCACAGACATTTGGAATCGAGTTCTTGTGCGCATGGATGCTTAAATCCGGTCTTTCTGTCCGTCTTTGAAGTCTCATGAAAAGTAAAATCATATTTCTTTTTTGCTTCGGTGTTCACCAGCAGCCTTCTTCCTACAGGGTGAAGAAATATGCAAGTTTCACCCTCCGTCTATTTCCAGTGAGCTGCACTTAAACATCTCTTTGACATTATGGTGCATTAATATATTTATAGAAGACTAAAAATAGAATTGTATACAGGGCAGATTATACAGGAAACCATATGTGACCACGCTCTGTATACATACATGATGTGCCGCTGTGTTTGCCGTCTCTTATAATTACACCAACTCTGGAAAACAGTGCTGACAAATAATTACATTAAGTCCTCCATCACACTTCAAGCAGCGAATCCAAGCACCGGATAGATTCTTATCTGACACTCAGGATCAAATAAGAAAGTTAACAAAAGCAGGGTTTTATTTTATCAGGACAGTGTGAAGGATGGTCTTTGTCTTTCACATAAAGGAGCTCGTGAGTGCTTTTATCACAAATAAAATTCAATTACGGCAACATACTCAAGGTTTTCAGTCTTAAAGGACTGGAAAAAAAGAAGTCTTAATTCCTCTGATTCAGACATCGCCTTCAGTTTCACTGCACTCTTTTCATGGACTTTACTCCCACTGGAGTGGAGAAAAAATGGGCATAAGTGGCCTAAATTTGGATTACACACATGCTAGTAATGTTATTCCTGCACAGTCTACATGGATAGTTTGACGTTTATAGATGAAGACGTTTTTGACTGATATGAGCACAGGCTGCACCCTGTTGTCACCCGACTCAAGCAAACACTGCAGAGGAACAATAACACTAACTCTGTTTTTGGCAATCCCCCAAAATCTTAAAGCTCCTATCAGGAGTTTTTGATATTATCAAACAGGCTGAGATTCATGTTGATGCTTTTTTGTGACACTTGAAAGTTAACAAAACCATTAGCAACAAGGTTTAAGATTTTTGTATCCTATTTTTTAAGCCTGAATCTCATGCAAGTAAAACTTTCAGAATAGAGGACACATGTGACAGTCAAAAAGTCAAATAAAACATGTTGTACCGCTGTTTTTCAGAAATAGAAAAATAATCATCAAAAATGTTATGATTGATCTTTAAAAACAAACTGAGACTCACCAGAGACAGATTAAAGGTGCCGGTAGATTATGAACTTTAAGCTACACCAGAATCCTTAAAAAGTTATCCATGGTAGTGCCTGGAAAAATCAGCGTTGTTTCTAGAAGTTAGCCAACACTAGTTACCAAATTAGCTTATCATGAACTAGGGCTGGCTACTTCAAAGCATAGCATATCTATATTGTTGCTAGAAGTTATTTAGCTTCTTGCTAACTCAGGTTGGCTACTTCTAAGAGTAACATATGTATGTTTTTGCTAGAAGTTAGTCAACCCTAGTTAGCTAGTTAGCTTCTTGCTAACTAGGGTTGGCTACTTCTAAGCATATATTGTTGCTAGAAATTAGTCACTCTAGTTAGCCAGTTAGCTTCTTGCTAACTAGGGTTGACTAACTTCTAGCAACAATATACATATGCCTTGCTTAGAAGTAGCCAATCCTAGCTAGCTTCTTGCTAACTAGGGTTGGCTACTTCTAAGCATGTATACTGTTGCTAGAAGTAAGCCAACCCTAGTTAGCTAGTTAGCTTCTTGCTAACTAGGCTTGGCTACTTCCAAGCAGAGCATAGGAATATTTTTGCTAGACATTAGCCAACCCTAGTTAGCTTCTTGCTTACTAAGGTTGACTAACTTTTAAGCACAGCATATGTATGTTGTTGCTGGAAGTTAGCCAACCCTAGTTCGCTAGTTAGCTTCTTGCTAACTAGGGTTGGCTACTTCTAAGCAGAGCATATATTGTTGCTAGACGTTAGCCAGCCTGAGTTAGCTTTTTGCTAGCTAGGCTTGCTGCTTCAGGAGGATAGTACTAAATAGATACTAAAGTTTTTGTTTTACCTTATGCTGCTATCATAATGACAGGTTAGCTTGGATGTGGGTGAATGCTAATAGGAACAGGCATACACTGGTTAGTAATGACTTATCGAATATGTTACTTTACCCTTGAGTACGACCTCTGTGTTTTCACTTTTGATTGAATTCTTATCTCTGATTTTAAGTCGAATGATTTGTCAGTATTCCTCACTTTCTTTAGATGTTGGTACTTTTTGATAACAGCATATCTCGGCCCTGAAAAGGCTGCTGTGTGACTGTGGGGAACGACGAGGTAAAAATAGGAAAACAATCGCCTTTGTTGATGTTTTATAAGGAAGGAAATACATTGTCAGACCTCAAGGACAGGCACACAATGCATTTTGTCGGTAACAGTGAATGTAAACACAGCATAGTTTGTTTGGAAAGAAAGGTCTGCGGGGATCTTTAACTTTGGGTCTTTTCTGTTCGAGGAAGCTGCACTTTCACTCCCACACCCAAAATGACGGATTTTTAATGGACTGAGATGAAGATTGGATCATGTTTTCTACATGACCTCCTATCTTTGACCAAAAAATAAATAAATGTTAACAGTTAGATAACTTCTAGTCTTGTGTTTTATTTCTTTGTCTTCCAGATGGTGATGGTCTGGGGATCAGTATCATCGGGATGGGCGCAGGAGCCGATATGGGCCTGGAGAAGCTGGGAATCTTTGTGAAGACAGTCACTGACGGAGGAGCAGCTCACCGAGACGGCAGGTACGTTCATTCAGACTGACAAGGCCTCTGCTACGTACGCCGTGGGTCGGCCTGAGGTCAAATCAGTAGTTGTAGTTTTATTCCACTAGCAGATTCTTCATTGTCCCACAAGTCTCTTATTTCTGGCAGCTGTGAGGCTCTTTCTCTGCCAAGAGTCGGCCGTTTTTTTAAAAGATGGAGTTCGGCTTGTGTGGGCTTCAGTGTAGAGATGACGAACAGAGGCTGCCGCTGAGCTATTATTGCAAACTCTAAACATCTCTCTCCACCGCCTCCGCTAGGATCCAGGTGAACGATCTGATTGTGGAGGTGGACGGGACCAGTTTGGTGGGAGTCACCCAGAACTTCGCCGCCTCCGTGCTCAGGAACACCTCAGGAACCGTCAAGTAAGAGTCACTCTGAGCACACACGCTGTTTCTCTAAAAAAATTATTCAAATGAACTAATCATGAAACAGCAGTTTAAAGTTTAATCACCACAGCAGCTCAAGGATGGAAATTCACTGAGATTAGGGGGTTTTTGAGCTGATTTCAAAGTGGACACCTACGGTTATGGAAAGTTCACGACTCTGGTGTTTGTTTTGTTTTCTTTCGCTGTTTCTTCTCTACTCCGCCATCAAATTTCTTACAGTCTATAAAATACAAACAGGAATGTTTTATTGATGGAGAAAGAGGAGGTTTAGGTGCTTTAGTAAGAATGAGTAACAGGAACTTGAGGATTTCCCCACAGCTTTCAGTTCTGCTTTTGTTTTGTGCCTTTTCGGTGGCATTGGTGCAGCAAAAAGTGAATGTGGTAAACGTCAATATGCTCTGTGAGATTTAGAAATTGAATCCGGGCAGAAACCAACCTTTTAGCAGTATGCATTCATGTACAAACACTGAACTGAATTTACAAAAAACATCCCAAAGGACAGGCAGTCTTCGAGAGCACACAGATTGGCTGGTTAAAAAGTGCCTCCTTGTCCCCTCTCTCCTCTGTCCTCCTTCCTGTGACCTGGAAATAACTCTAAGTGGCGTCTTGTCGGATGTCTCAGTCCCTAAAATGTTTTTAGAGGAGAGCAGAGTGAGGACAGAGCAGGGTCGCTGAGGGAGCAATAAGAGAGGAAGCACAGGTGTATCCTTTTTGATGCTTTAGAGGGGTCATGGACTGATAAAGCTTCAAGAATATATGCCAGTAGATGTTTTTCAGCTTTTTTGAAAGATTAAGGGAGATAAAATGGTAAACTAAGACAAAACAATGATCAGAAAACACCTCAGGTCTTATGTCTTATCATACTCGAACTCTTGAAAAGTGATTTCCTCTACAAACAAACACTGTTCATGACAGAGCACTGAGACAGACTTGGAGGCCAGACCAGACTGGTTTGGTTTTGCAGCATCTGTTTGATCAATAAATATAACGTCAAGATCATAAATCACCTTTAATGGCTTTTATTTGATTTCCAAATTAAGACTCTTTTAAAGGATTGCTTTAAACTTTACAAACATGGACTTGTAAACTGTTTAAACATGATTTTTAGCGAGTGGTTGCAAAAAAAAAAACAATCTTTTTATTTTTGTTTGTGATCGTTTGCGGTGATGATTTCTGCTGAGACCGGGACAGATGTTCCCCTTCGCTCTGTCTCTGCCTCTCTCTCTGATATCCTGCATTCTTACTTAAAGAGACGATTTCCTCCTGATAGCCGGTCTCACTCACAGGACCGACTTCGACCACATCCTGCCGGTTCAGCTCACCAGACAGCAGATTTATATCTCAACTCTCACAGGGGTCACGATTACAGCCCGCAGTGTTGAAAAGCTCCTCTTTGAGACATCCTGAATATACGGTCAAAAGATTCCACGTTGAATGCTGTCGGCGTCGACGTATCAAACTGAAACACCGGCGGACTATTTGTATCCCCTGCTTTTTGTTGTGCTCCTTTTGTCATCCTAGCTCATCAATAATTCAACGCTTAGCGGTCAGAAGTGAGGAGGAATTGTTGGTGCGTCTTGTGAAGAAGAGAGACTTCCATAGATAGCTCATACATTATGGATCGAAGGACGCCGAAGCTCAGACCTATTCATAAAAAAACATCAGGCGGACAAATAGTCAGGGGGAGGAAGTGTGTTTGTGAACGTTTAATTAGCAGTTAGCGCTGCAGACGCTGAATAGCCGCAGGCGTAATAACATCTGTGGCTGCGTCGTGATTTACAGTACGCTTTCCTGTTTACTGCTGGCTTTTAATTGGACGGAGAATTATAAGGGCTCAATCAGGGAACGTATAAGCTCTGTAATGAAATGAACAATGAGCTGGAGGAGGGGAGGCAGAGCTGAGGGTTTGATTTTAATCATAGGAAGAAATCAACTCCATAGAGAGAGAGAGAGAGAGACTGTCTTTGTTCAGCGGGGAAACCGGAAGTGAGTTTTGGTCATCAGGGAGGCCGAGCATTCCTCTCTACATCAATACATCATGATAAACCTCCTGAAGAAGAAGCCTGCATGAAAAAAAACCTGGACTATCCCTCAGAGAGCCTGCAGCCATGCTCCTCAGCGGCCAGGAGGGAAAAAAAAACAGACCGTTATATATTATTTAGCATGCACATACAGTGTAGCGTAATACCATATCACCTCCATCAGCTGCTTTGAACATGATGTGGGTCAGGGGTGAGATATTTACCGAGATGCACTCCTTACCAGGTTCGTGATTGGCCGGGAGAAGCCGGGGGAGCAGAGCGAGGTGGCCCAGCTCATCCAGCAGACCCTGGAGCAGGAGCGCTGGCAGAGGGAGATGATGGAGCAGCGTTACAACCAGTACATGGACGAACAAGAGGTCAGTGTTTGTGAAGGGTTCGATTAGAGCTGTGAAACTGCTAGTAGCACATGCAGGAGGGCAGAGGAGAGGGTGCAGCGATTACTAATCAGTTTGCAGGCCTTCTCATCCTTCATTCATGTACATGTGGACAAACAAACCATCATGGTCAAAGAGAATAAACAGAAAAAGAAGATTTCTCTTTCCTCTTGCTATAGCTCTTTTTATACATGCACTACATTAGGGCTGTAATTAACCAAAGGAATTGTTCATCAACTGAAACCCTGAAATTTTCAACGAAAATCGACTCTGACGGCAAACCCTTCTGCGGCGGGGGACGACACGACTCGGCAGAGTGCAGCTCAAAGGGGTGAAAACATACTGATATGAGCACAAGACAGCAATTAAACACAATTATTATATTCAGCAAACCACCGGACGTTGATTAACGTGTCTGTCTTTAATCTTCCTGTCTCTAGACGGTCTCCAGTGAGCACTTGGTACGTTTCTCCTGATAAAATTACCCGTAGATTGTAAATTGACGTGGAAAAAATTGGAGTCGACCAATCAGAATTTGGTCGACTAAGAGCCTATCAACCAATAAGTCCACCGGTCGACTAGGACTTTACAGTCCTACACTACACTCCTGAAAATTTCTAGATTCATACCTGTCATGCATGGAAACAGCTGGATTTTTAAGTGGCCAAGCTTCGAGTATTTTGATCCCTTGAAAGTTACATAAAGAGTGAACTGCATCCTCTACGTCAGCGGTTCTCAAGTCCAGTCCTCAAGTTTCCCTGCTTCAACACACCTGATTCAAATGATTAGCTCGTTATTAAGCCATTACAGAGCCTGATAACGAGCTAATCATTTGAATCAGGTGTGTTGGAGCAGGGAAACATCCAAAACATGCAGGACAGTGGGCCTCGAGGACTGGACTTGAGAACCACTGCTCTACGCCAGTGTAATAGGCTGTTTTCCCTCATTTGTTCACATTCATGCATTTAAAAATGGTGGATCTTTTGGAGTTCCTCTTCAGCCACCATAGCCTGCAGCATGGAGACAATAGATGGTACTAGAAGGTGTTACACATCTGCATGGAAAAAGTTATTGTTTGGCACTTGGAGGACATCAAATTCAATACATAAGTAATGATAAAACCCTCGCGAACTGCCTTGTTTTCATTGGGTCTTTAAAGTTTGCGTAACCGTTCCCACTTGCTGAGCTTTAACAGCTCTAACATCAAAATCAAATCTCTTGTTGGCGGCTCCTGTATGTGTTTTAGGATTATGACATTCAGTCCAGTGTCATTGTGAACAGAAGTGACCCTCTCCGCCGAGGTTCAGATGCTCATGTGTCCCTCTGGCCTGGAGCCACAGTGTTTTTTTCTCCAGGGTGTAGCATCAGTCCGATCAAACGATAAGCTGTGATCCCAAACGAGGACAGATCAGGATGAATGGAGCGGGACGCCCTCAGATGCTCTTTGCTTTTTTTTAATCCAAATGTCTCCGATTTTCTCTCTGTTGTCGATGTTTTACATAAACAGATCACATGCTCAGAGGAACAGGGTGCTTTTATCATAAGGCAGAGGGGAAGTTGCCCCATTCATGTCAGGGTGAAGGAGGCGGGGTGGTTCTTGAAAAGCTCTGAAAATCTGCTCTGTGGAGTTTAGCACCATCTAGTGTCTGTTTGGTGTCACAGCATAGAGATAAATTAAGAGGGAGAAGGTGTCTCACTGTGGTTTCTGACCTCCTAACATTGATACTTCCTCCTGTCAGGGTGGTGAATATGGCACAGATGAGGAAGAGGATGATGACGAGGAGGTCAGCCCGCCGTATCCGAGTGCCATCGAGGTGTTTGACTTGGCGGAGAACGAGGACATGTCGCCTCTGGAGACGGATCCTGAGAAACTGGCTCATAAATACAAAGAGGTGAGAGAGAGAGAAACTCGATTTAATTGGAGCTTTTCTTGTTTAATCACAGGCTGTTTTCTCTGATGGATATGAACATGTATTTAAAACCCTCTTTTCTTTTCAGCTCCAAATAAAGCACGCTGTGACACAGGCTGAGATCCAACAGCTGAAACGAAAGGTAAACCACAGACATGTCCTTTAAAAAGAACTACATATGGACTTTAAGTAAGCGACTCTTGTTAAGCTAAAGCTGTGGGAATTCTGCAGAAAAGATCTCTCAAAGACGATGTCTTTCCAGCTGAATGTGTAGGCTGGGATGATCTGCTTTTCTCCCGGTTCTATACTTCTGCGATATTTTGGATGCTGATTCGATTTAAATTGCGATATAAGGATACTGTCGATTTTCTCGATTTTTAGTGTGCATTTTTAACCCCGGTAAAAACAGTTGAATGATAATGATGGTCTACTGACTAATCCAGAAAACAAATTTACCCAAAGATTTATTAGATTTTAGAATTTTAAGATTTATTCTAAAATTTGAAGGAAAAAAAAAGATTTTTGAACATAAAAATTGTAAAACAAAAAATCGCGATACTTATGTGAATCGTTTTTTTTTCTCCCACACCTATTAACCATCCCACTGAGCTTTTTTTGGTCTAAAAGAGGTCTAAAGCTACGTTCACACTGCAGGTTATGATGCACAATTCGGACTTTTTGTTAAATCTGATCTTTTTGTGCGGTGTTCACATTACAACAACAAATGCGGAATCTAATGTAGATGGAATGCGTCCGTGAAGTGACTTGCATGCGCACAAAGCACAAATTGCTCTCCGCGCCTGTTTGTGTTGTCGAACAATGGTGACGTTTGTCGCATATTGATGACGTATAGGTCGGATGAACGCGACCTGAGCGTCCACACTGCAGTCACATCGGAAACATATCCGAATTATATCCACATACAAAAGAGGCCTGGGTCGGATTAGAAAAAATCAGAATTGCACTGTTCACACTTGCATTAAAAAAAATCAGATTATGGTTAAAAAATCAGAATTGACCTGCAGTGTGAACATAGCCTAATAGACATCTAAATGTAGCCTAGACGACTGGTCTAAAATCAGGACACCACAGGTCTGAAAATGGAAGTTTTTTAGACGTCTAAATCCAGACCAAGTTTAGACCCAGTCTAAATCTGGGCTATATCTATACTACACTGTATACTGCTCAACAGATATCATAATTATCTTGGTTAAGTACTTGGAGATCAGATTTAGTCGCCACAGAAAAGAGGTTAAATTATTGGGACTGGAAACTGTCGGTGTGAATATTTCACTGCTAAACAGCGTTCAGAATGAGTAATGCAGAGTGACACAGACACTTTAACACTAAAGTATGTGTGACGGTGTCGGCCACTAGAGCAAAACCAGTGAGGAGAAGGTTGGATGCAGAAGCATAAACCAGACTTAAAGGGATATTTCAGTGTTTTTGGAGTGAGAGTTAGCATGAGCAAGAGCACGTCTGTGTGATGCTGAAAAATGACTCACCAGATCATAAACTTTGATACTATCTTAAATGTATTTGTTGAGTTGAACGTGTCGCCTGTGTTTTCCAGCTGCACCACGCAGAGCAGGAGAAGCAGCGTTGGCGTATGGATAAAGCCCAGCTGGAGACGACCCTGCAGGAGAACAAGGAGCGGATGGAGAAGCTGGAGGGTTACTGGATGGAGGCGCAGAGTCTGTGCCAGGCCGTGGACGAGCACCTGAAAGAGACCCAGGCCCAGTATCAAGCCCTGGAGCGCAAGTACAGCAAAGCCAAACGCCTCATCAAGGAGTACCAGCAGAAGTGAGAAAGCATGAAACGGCAAAAGACGAGAACTACTACAAAAGCGATGTGTTCAAGTCTGACTCTCTGCTTTCTGCCGTTTTCTCCAACAGGGAGATCGAGTACCTGAAGAAGGAGACCCAGCGTTGTGCACAAGTCGGAGCGGAGGCGTCTCTGCTGAAGGAGGAGTCAGGGCAACTCCAGGAGCAGGTACAGGAGGAGACCTTGGAGAATGATTCTTTGCTTTTATTCTCAGCTTTTACTTCAGAATGTGGTCGAGAGCTGAATCTGAAAGAGAGGAAACACTCAAATAAGGTTTTTTTTTTTACTGTTGAAGACGATCAAGTACAAAAATGATGATATGAAGAGCAGAGTTTGGTATTGGTAACTGTATTCAGAGGAAAGAAAGCGCACATGGGTGTTAGAGTCAATAATCTGTGCCACTGTGGAATCAAAAATTAGGTCTGAGTAATAACTGAGATGCCCTCCTAAGAGTCTGTGTTCGTTAAGAGTGAGTGACCAGCTGTTAAAGTCGACTCTTCTCTCTCTCTCTGTCTCGGTAAGTTTATCTCTACATGTCCAGAGGACAATGTTCTGTAGGAAAATCAGTCACCTTCCCCTGAGCCAGAAGAGACAACACGCTGAGCGGAGCTTGTTCTCTGGAGAAGTTAATCCGTGCGAGTCAGCAGCCTGCACAGCGGTCTCTTTATCTAAGCGCTGCCTCTAGCTATGAATTAAATCCTCTTCATGTAATCTGAAAACAAGACTTTCTGCTAGTTTCCTGTCATGAGTTTGTTCTTCTGTCCAAAAAAAGAAATCACCATAATAAAGTTTTAGTCTGAGGAGTTTCTGATTGAGGTTGTTCAGTTTTTGCTTTCAGTTCAGCCTCCTTGAATGAAACCCAGTTCAGTTAAACTAAAATTAACTCCAGTTTGGTTAAATTTATTTACAGTCATGAGAAGAACTCAGCCCGAACCAGCTTCAATGCGCCATGTGGTCTCGACACAGACGTTACATATGTGACAGTAAGCAGAAGCTCTAAACCTCAGCGGTTATATTCAGTCATGTAGTGATAACGAAAACCTCAGTCTGACACTGCAGCACGCAAATAACTTATAAATAGTAAATGGACGTGTACGAACGTCGTGCTTTTCTCGTCTTTCTGATCACTCAAAGCGCTTTTACACGTCTCATTGTCCTCATTTAGCTCCCATAAAGCTTTGCAGTTGACACAGTTTTTCATCGAATCACCGAATCATTTAGTGCTTGGTGGGAGGAGCCTACGACTTCAACCTCCTGAACTGATACACAGCTGAACGTTTCAGGATTCAGTTCAATAAGTCATGATGTTTTAAGTGTGCTGTCCTATGGTATGCTATTTACCAGGTCTGCTCCGTAATTGGGCTCAGTGAGTGATTCGTTCACTGGACGTTTAGAAGAATTCACACTGAACAAGCACCGTTGTGGTGGCAATTTAGCAGTAAAAAATAAAAAAAGTTTGTTTGTCCTACAAAAATGATTCCAGAGAGTGTAGTTCATTGCATGATTCAAGTGAACAAATCACTTGAGGAAGTGATTCGGTTCAGTACGTTCACTTAAAAGATTCGGTTCTTTTGAACGAATCGTTCGTGAATGACACAACACTATGACCAAGTGCCTAACATTGTTGCTATTATCCCTACTGGCTAGGGCTGGGCGACATGGGCTTTAAAATGGAACAACAGAAGAGCTGCAGAGGAAACTATAGAAAGAATTTAGATTTTTATTTTAGTCGACCTCAGAAAAAGAAAAATGCAAATTCATGAAGTTAATGGATTTATCGCACGGCCCTACTACCGCCTTGAAGATGCCCTCAGGAGCTTGCCTGGATTGCAGGACAGGATTTCTGTAACAGAGTGTTGGAGACTAGTAGCTCCTCAATCTGCCAGACTGTTACTATTACTTGACTGTCGTTCTGAGTGAGGCTGAAGCTCTTGTTTTTGCCACAGTGTCAACAGGTTGAGGTGAAAAGTCTAATCCTCCTGAAAAAGTGACGGATAAAACTAACTCTGTCTTCTTCTTGTTTTTCTTCTAGGTGGCTGATCTGGAGTGCAGGGTGGAGGAGCTGAAATCCGAACCTCTATAAAAGCCTTTTCTCATCACTTATCATGGGAACTTCACCAGAAGAAAGAAAGTGTTATTGTTCTTACACTGACCTGCAGGGCGTGTCCGGGTTTGTGATCGCTCACTCTCAGCGCGCCCTACAGGCTGTGTATTTCATCTGCCTAACCCCTTTTTAACCAAGTTTTACTTTAACTTTTACGGCAAACGTGAAGATCGGTTCTATCGTCACAAAGACGGACTCTGTGGAGCTCTAGATGTGTACTATTCCTTTTTTTATCTCCAGTATTTAACCCCTTAATTTGTTGTTTTGTGACAGACCAGGCTGTTGCTTTTATTTGCCAAAAAACAAATCCCTTTTTTTTTTCTTTCTTCCTCTCGTCTAGTTTTGTGACCTTTATTTTGGAGTTTGTACAGACGTGATTCTGTGTGGTTTAACAATCAGTTGGTTTGTAAAAAATTTTAATATGTGTATAACATTTAACATAATATAAACTAATGAGACCGGGGGGGTTGTTGTATATTTTACGTGATGGAGATGTGTAAATTGGGACGGAGATTGCACTGAAGGAGACATCGACGAGATGCTTCACTGGAACGGAGGAAGATAACGGGAAACGTGCGTGACGTGTCTTCAGATTTGTACAAACAGTAACCCAACCTTCGTAGGGGTCTAGTCACTTAACCTTGAGAACCACCTGCTGCCTACCTTTCAGAAGTGTTTGTGTTTTTTACACATTAAGACTCATTCATGAGCGTCCGATCCTTCGGTTTTAAACCCTCCTCCTCTCTCTCTCTCTATCTCTAAATGAAGGACCACACAGAAACAAGCCTCCAGAACTGCTGTGCCACTGACAAAAACGGATCTTTTTCCCCTTAAAATGGATGTTGTCGAGGATTTGTGTAACTGGTATTAGTTAGGACTACTGATATAAGAAACATAACTGGGACTGGGACTGTTGGAGGAGCCGTTACCAGCAGCAGCAGAGTCTCTAACCAGCAGCTGCACTTGACACCGCTGTGTGTAGCACATGGAAAACACTGCCAGGTTTATTACACCTGTTTCGATTCCTGCACAGTTTGAAATGAAATCGAGTCTACTTGTGTCAACTGTAATACCAGTATGTTTGTATAGTTCAGGTTAAGGCTGAAATATTTTAATTTTACTTAATATTTATAATATAGTTAAGGTGGAACTATGAGCTAACAAGGACAAAAACTGACAAAAGCAATGCAAACAGTAATGTGTAATAGACAGTTATACTGTGTCATGTATAAAAGAAGTAGATCTGGATAATTACAAAAATAAGATTAATGAATTGAAAATTTAAAAAACAGGCATGGTTATGAGTATTTTCATAATATTAAGGCTTGTACAGTGCACATGCTTTGCATTGTATGTTTTGTGGAATAAATGGTCAACAGTGATGAATATACGAGTCGGCCTTCTTTAAACTCGCCAATTTGACGCTCTTGAGAGGAACTTTCTGTTTGGCGCCCCGTGTGGACAAAGCAAGCTCGTCCTCTACGTGCCGTGACAAGATTTGCTGTGACTGTTAATAGAGAAATTGTAAAAACAGGGCCGTTTTCTTAGCTGCTTCACTGACACCAGTTTCAGGCATTTAGAATTACAACATGCAAACTTTTGATCTTTTCCCTGATGGTCTTGTTTGCTTTAAGTTTTGGAATTAAGATACAGTGATTTACTTGTATGTGACCCTAGTTAGCCTGCTTGGGAACCAGACAGGTCTGTCCGCTGTAACACCAAAACTCTGGCAGGTGTTTCTGGTCCCAATCTCAGTGGATTCCAGTTTGGGCTCACTAGTCTTTTACTGTAAAGAGGGCAGGTTAGATCTGATGACTATACAGAGAAGCACTGTTGAGAACTTGTTGTAAAACCTCTTAAGACCCGAACTCTTGCAAGGCATGCATTTTTATTTTCTCTTTGATATTTAGGCTAATTGGGACCTGATGAGTGTAAAAACAAAGAATGATCTTTTTACATGATGTAGTTTCTGACCAAAATGTTGAAGATTGAAGCTCTCATAATTGTTGGAACACCCCTTTTTTGTCCTTTTTGCTCCCCATCATTGTATTGAAAGCAAAAAAGACAAATGAGAATAAAGACTTGAAACTGAAGATTGAGACCATCACACTCATTTACTAAAGGTTTATATCAGCAAAGGAGTTCAGTCATTTTATCATCTGGGCTCATACAATCTTATTTGCAAATGGCAGAGCCGCCCCCTGCTGGTCATTTTAATAAAAATGCAGACTCAGCATATTCCCAAAGCGCACAGTCCGTGGATTCAGCTGGTCATACAGCCTAGAAGTCCATCTCTGTGCCACGTGTTGAATTGCTCTTAAAGATTATAGTTTATAGAAGCTTCTTCACGTTTTCACTTGCAAAGGATTTTTTTTTTCAGTAACTATCAAAAATGAAATATTCACATGAAATGACATTTCTAAGGTATGAATTGAGTTTTAAATGCGCATAGGTTAAAGTTATGTAATATACAGGACATTCACAAGTTCCCTGCAGCTCTTAAAGACTGAAATCAGGATGTACAGTTCGACAGTTTAGTGCAATTATTCCATTCACACGCCCAAAAACGTCACTACAGGTGCATCTTCTGGTGGTGTCTCCTGAGGTGATAGTTCCTTGAAAAGCTTTTCCCACACTGTGAACATTTAAACATCCTCTGTCCCAAGTGGAGCATCTGATGAGCTTTGAGGCTCTGCGGCCGGCTGAAGCTTTTCGAGCACTCGGGGCAGCTGTAGGGCCTCACCCCCGTGTGCTTCCTCTCGTGTCTCTTCAGGTCTCCGGACTGCCTGAAGCTCTCGCCGCAGTGCGTGCACAGGTACGGCTTCTCTCCCGTGTGAGTCCTGAGGTGCACGTTGAGCTGCCCGGTGTAGGAAAACCTCTTACTGCAGTGCGGGCAGCTGTGCGGCTTCTCGCCCGTGTGGACGCGCTGATGCTGCTTGAGCCCGTAATGGTTGGTGAAGCCCTTTCCGCAGTCGGTGCACACGTAGAGCACTTTCACCTGCTGGAAACACGAGTGAGACTTCAACGCTTTGTTGCTCGGAAAGCTCTCCCCACAGTGAGAACATTCACGCTCTATACTCTCTTCGCCCTCCTCCTCCTCTTCCTCATCCGGGAGGTTGTTTGAATCTTTAAGCGACAGGTACTCCACAGGGTGGTGCCTCTTGATGTGTTTGATAAGGTAGCTCTTCATGGTGAAGGAGAACTGGCAGAAGGAGCAGGGGAAAAGCTGAGACGTGCAGTGATACTTCTTGCACGTGTTGTTCTTCTGGTGTTGTTTCAGGTTAGCAGAGGTAGTGAAGACTTTACTGCAGCGCTCGCAGTTGTAGGATTTAGAGACGGCGTGTACCGTCTGCTCGTGTCTCTTCAAGAAGCCAGACTTGATAAAAGTGGCCCCGCACTGCCCGCACTTGTGCTGCCTGAATGTGCATTTATGCGCTTTGAGATCCTCTTGATTCCCGTATGTTCGTTTACAGCGGTTACAGCTGAACCATTTGTACTTCTTCAACTTTACATTCTTTGCAGGAGGTTCCTCTGACCCGCTCTCAGTCTGAGCAGAGCTGCTTTTGGCCTTTTTGCAGCTGGCCTCTCTTCGTTTCGGAGCGATGAGCTTCGTTATGGCAGAAACTTTTGATCCAGCCCCAAGCCTCTTAGGTCTCTGAGCTGGAATTGCTTGGACTGAGTTTTGCGTTTCAGTCGCTGACTTTGGTGGAGTGAAGTCTGGATCCTGCCTCTGATCGTCCTCTTTGTTCCCCCCTGTCGTCTCCTCTGAGTGATTCTCATTCGTGTGCTGCAGAAGGATCGCAGCTGAGGAAAAAGTGAGTGGACAGTCAGAGCATACAAAAGGTGTCATCGTAGATTCTTTTGGATCCTGATCTGTTTTCTTGGCTCTTTTGTTTTGGGTCTGGTGACCCCGCAGATGTCTGTTCAGGTCGCTGTACTGGCCAAAGCCTTTTTGACACACAGTGCAGACATAAGGACGTATCCCTTTATGCACAGTCAGCATGTGCTTCTTCAGGTAACCCTCGCTCGTGAAGCTTTTCCCGCATTCTGAACAACTGGGTTGGGACTTTTCTGCCGCTCCTGCAGAGGTATTTTCACTTCCATTTTCATCCACAGCTTCTTGTACCTCCTTATCTATTTCCCTCGCCTCCTCAGATGGATCTGCAGAATTCAAACGCTCCGACTCAGAGTTCTCTTCCTTATTCTGATCTGCAGCAGCGTCTATCTCGTTCACCACAGCGTGATTCCTGTGAACCAGCTGGTGTCTGATTAAGCCGGATGCCTGGCTGAAACTCCTCCTGCACTGCGGGCAGCAGTACGGACGCTTGTTGGAGTGGACGCAACGCTTGTGCCTCCTCAGGTGAGGCATTTGCTTGAAAACTTTCCCACAATCCCCGCATATGTGGGACTCCACAGGATCGGCAGATAGCAGCACCAGGGCTGCTTCACAGTCGGCGATTGAAGCAGGTGTTTTTTGGTCGCTCGCCTCTGCAGCTGGTAGAGTACCATCGTCCGTCGGCTGCTTGTGGAAGTGTTGTGCGTGTCGCTGGAGGAAAGACTCTGTGGTGAAAGTGAGCTGACAGTGGGAGCAGAGGAAGATCTGATGTGTTGCTGCAGGAAAACTCACTGTGATTTTAAAGAGGAGGAAGGAAAAACAAAAAATAGTTAGGGTCAAATATAAGAATTATACATTCATCAACTTGTTTGTGGTCAGAGAAACTAACGCAGAGAAGGAGGTACCTGTTGCATTCAGTCTTTCCAGCCACACCTGATTCCAAGTCTCACTAAAGTGGTCGAAAAGTTTGCTGCTGGGCCACACCATGAGCTCATCTCCAGGTAAAATGTTGCGACAACAATGATACAGGATGCTGCCTTTGTACTGGACAGCGAGCAGGTTGGTCTCGTCTTTGTTACGAGCACGTTTCACGAATCTGTGCGGGAACAGAAGAGGTGAATGAAACCAGGTGGAATAAGTAAATCACTCCTATTCACACTTTTTTAAACAAGCACACAGCTTCGACAGTCAACAAATCTTTCCCTACAGGACACTCCTCGGTCTCAGTTTGTTCAGATTTCTTAAGTGACATGAATGAAGACAATAGACTAAGCTTCTTGTCTAAACTTCACAAATATTCCCTTGTTTTTATCTACAAGAGGAACAGGAACAAAAATAGAAACATGGAGCCTAAGTCAAAATGGCGCACTGCTGATTTAAAACTTTAGGCCTGTTTATCTATAGTCTCAATGTGGGATTCAAGCACAATATTAAAGGGATATTCCAGCATGAAATTAATTTAGTGTCAAACATACCATAACACTTAGACACCTGCTTGAGAGATTAATGTTGCCGACTGCTTGCTTCTCTAGTTATACCAACTTTAGTAACGACCACAGGATAGCAAAGCCACATGCTCAACCAAAACACCACTCTATAGCCACAAATAATGCTCAGAACAGCACCTAGCTTCATCAACAGTACTTATAATGTCCTAGCCATAGCACTAGCCACCAAACATCTTTTTAGCTTTGCCTAATTTCTTTAGCAAAGAGACTAAACACAACTCACCTACTCTCAGCGGCTGCTTGTTTGTAGCGAGACGTCGGGCCAGTCTATTACGGACTGCTGCGGGGTGACGCAGCTCAAGGAAGAACATTTATGATCGTTTCTTCATGGAAATGCAATCAGACCGAGACGCTGAGGCAGAAGAACTACCGCGTCTGCAGTGCAAAATGATCAATATGGTGATTATTACTTCAAGGAAATGATAAAGTAATGATCATAAATGTTCTTCCTTGAACTGTGAAACCCCGCAGCAGTCCGTAATGGACTGTCTGTATTGCTATCTGCGGTCATTACTAAAGTTGGTATAACTAGAGAAGCAAGCAGTCGGCAACATTCATCCCTCAAGGGGGTGTATAACTCGGTGTTACAGTGAGTTTGACCCTAACTTAATTTGATGCCGGAATATCCAGATGGAAACAGACTAACATAGAGCCCGTAGCCAAATGTGTTTCGTTACCTCATCCAGTTTGAGTGTGAATCGCTGGCAGCATCAATATACTCATACTCATCTTTTCCTTTATAAATCTGCAGAAAAAAAGACATATCTTTAAATAAACACCTAAGTAAAAAGTTTTCAAAGACAACAAACGGATACCACAAGTCCAAGCTTGATATAACCATGAACATGAAGGCGGTTTTACATAAATGTATCTCTGCTCACCTCCCAGGAAAAGTCACTCTGCACTGCATTTTCCCTTGTTGTCATTTCCCCCTCATACGGTCCAAAATGCATCCCTGGAGACACTATGGGCCCGTGATTTATGACCCCTACCCCTGCACCGGGGACACTAGATCTGCCAATCATGAGGCCATAAGGAATAGTGAGCAGGGCTCTCTGCGGGACTCCTATACTTGTTGGAAAGTCCAGGATAAAAGATGGGCCGTTGAGATTCGCTGGGTCACTCTGGGCCTGGAAGAGAGGTACACACTCCTTGCAATCTAGAAAAAGGAAGAAGAAGGTAGCATTATTGAACAAAAGCTAAAAATCGTGAAAATGTCACATTCAGTGCAAGGATGCTGTCTATGAAGGAAGTCTCCTGCTTACAGAACCCATCATCTGCCTCAGGGTTATCTCCTTGTCCCACAGTTTCTAGTAACCTCTGGATGGGTGTTTCCTCTGGCTCTAACACTGGTATAACTGTAAAAATAGAGACACTGTTTTCAACAAGCAATAACACGTGTTCATAGACGAAAATATGGCATAAAGTTAGAAACCTCTCAAACCTGCGGAGGTGGTGTTTACAGGGGAAAGGCACTCCTCCACTATTACAACCTCCTCCGTTGTCTCAACCCACTCCACACCGTCGCTCCTGGCCGACATGAGTGCAAACTGTTTGTAAGGTAGATAGAAACAGTCACATATGAGTTTTCAGGACATAGTTTAGGACAAATACACAAACAGAGCGACCAAACACAGACAGGCGGCTAAGGCTAACATGTTAAGATAGCTTACTTAGCGTCCTGTAGCAATCCACTTAACAGGCTTCCATAGCAGTTAAAGCTAAAAAGAGGAAGAAGAAAAGGTTGTTGATTAAAATGTATTTCCCTAATTTCACTACAGAGTTACAGGCGATAACGTGGCTGCCAATGCAGCATCAAGACTGACAGTAAACACAGCGAGCCATGACCAGAACTAACTTCTATAAGGACGTCAAAAGAGATAAATACCTCCGAGTTTCAGCAGCTTTGTTCTTCAAAATGTTGGCAAAACAGGGACTTTAATGTTTATCACGAAAGGCATATGGTCTAAGACCAAAATATGAAACTAGCTCAGATACAAGCCCGACCCCGGAAGTTAATGACGAGCACTTTCAAAATAAGAGTATACGCCGGTGTCTTACAGCCTCTTTCCGGTGCACTTCTATTAGCCTACTCGCAAAAATAAGCTAAAAACGGTATCATTCCGCCAATCTAGAGAGAGTGCCGCATGTAATAAAGAACTATGTTTTGGTTCGTTGATATAGGCTATGGGCCAGAGGCCAGAATTTCACTATGAGTGCAAGGGAACTGTCAACGAGCAATACTTGGTCTTATTGCCCAAGTGTTGAAAGTGTGCTTGTTGAAAGTGGGCTTGTGTTGTTTGTCTCTGTCTCCAAACTTTAACAATCAAAAGTACGTGCGCCGCCCGGGAATCGAACCCGGGTCGCAAGAATGGGAATCTTGCATGATACCACTACACCAGCGGCGCCGACGTACAGTAATGCACAACGATAGAATTTCAACAGTAGCTCAATAACTTGTTCAGCATTGTAAAGAGACTACTCATTAAACTCAACACACGTGTATCCACATGCTTGGCATTTCTGCCTGTCACACTTCCGACAACACCACGATGCAGGCTACAGGGTCATCAGCCGGGAGTCACCCTTCATGTGACCTGTGTTTTTCAGAAAGATACAACCATGGGCTTAAATAAAAGGCTAGAAGGGCCCCTTTACAATGATACCAAACAATCATATATAAGCCAGAGTCATTAAAGGCAGCCAGCTCACCTGCTGCAAACTCGTCTGGGAACACTGGAGACAATGGATCTGGCTAACAGAGAGAAACCCTTCCAGTATCATTCACTGTGGGTCAAACCTGTGAGTTTGTTTGTTTGAATTGTTATATAACTCATTTTTGATTCACTATCCTGAATTATATGTTTTTATTGTAAAGAAAGAATGTTGTTTCTTGGTTTGCATATATTTGAATCATGTTGGTTAATTTGCTCTCACATTATTGATGGACATCATGATATTGGTCATGCTTGTATTTGATTTAAATCACTTTGGTTATTCCTTTGTCACCCTCTCCAGAGAAACCAGCTGAATATAAACTGAATAGACACTCTGGACTACAACTCCCCTCCCATGAGCTTATTTGTCCTTACAGCCAAAGAAATGATCATAAATGTTTTTCCTTGAGCTGCGTCAACCCGCAGCATTCTGTAATGGACTGGCCTGGGGTCTACAAACAAGCGGCTGCTGGAAGAGAGGAGGTGAGTTGCGTTTAGTCTCTTTGCCATATAAATTAGGCAAAGCTAAAAAGATGTTTGGTGGCTAGTGCTGTGGCTAGGACCCAATATATACTGCTGATGAAGTTAGGTGCTGAGTATTATTTGTGGCGTTTTGGTTGAGGTTTGTTTATGGCTGTGTATTGCTATCGTGCGGTCGTTTCTAAAGTTGGTATAACTAGAGAAGCAAGCAGTTGGCAGCATTCATCTCTTGAGGGGGTGTCTAACTCGCTGTTATGGTGTGTTTGATCCTAAATTAATTTTACGACAAAATATCTCTTTAACCAGCATAACCCTTAACAGTCAATTATCCTTCACATTAAGTCAGATACAACTTTAATGATCGCTTTGAAAAGGTTCCCTCAGGGAAATTAAACACATTACAAATATTAATAACTTATAATCATCTTGAAAAATATAAAGAACATCATTTCATGTTTACATTTGTTCATTTCACACAAACAAGTTCAAAAATCCAAGAGAAAACAGCGTTCAAAAATAAAATACAATTAAGGTAACAATATATCACAATATTGTAATATGTATTTATTGACAAAGTAGTCTGTTCTTACTCGGTTTTATCGTCCTGAAAGGCTCCACTCCCTGCTGGTGTGTGGAATCTGTTGCCTGGCAACTCACCCGCTGAAAGTTCTCCAAATGTCGATGTTGTTTCGCGAAAAAAAAAAAAAAAAAGAAACCGCCTCAGCTGTTGCCTAGCAACAACAAAGAGGCTAACAAACGGCCAAAGTAATCCGCTGATAGCGTCGAAAATGAAGTCTGTAGCGTTTGATGGGAGTGATTCAGCGGGTGAAATGGAGTGTAAACCAGCTGGAGGATGTGCCATCTTGTGCGGAATGTGTCCTTCTTGCGTCTTTGCGGTAAAACCTCCCGGTTCCGTCCGCTGTCCGTGGAAAGTTTCTGATAAATTCAAGAGGAGGTTTATTATCGAGCTGCTGTTACGATGCAGAAACACGAAAGTACTGGAGAGCATTCAGAGAGTTCTGAGTGTTACTTCATGGACTTTGTTCACCTACAACAGAGCCAAGAGCCCAACTTCACTCCAGCGCCACACCTGTCTCACTACAGGACAGGATGGAGCACCAGCTGGCGTGAACATGAAGGAGATCTGGACCTGGTTTAACAGCAGTACCGAGTGGTTAAAATTACGCTATCTTTGCCGCCTTTTCTCATTTTGTGACCTGGAGCTTCTTCTTACGGTCGCAAATTTGACGAATGTGCTCCTGGTCAGACAAAAAAGAGGATTTCTGCAGTTTAACGGTAAGAAACGACAACAGAAAGCACAATTTTATTTCGATAAGGAGTTTTACTTTGTGAGTTTTTCTGTAACAGGCTTTTAAACTGTGGAATTATTAGAATTGAACATCATAATCTTAATAGTGTTGTTTCGTTCGCGAACGATTCGTTCAAAAGAACCGAATCCTTCAAGTGTACGTTCTGAACCGAATCACTTCCTCGAATGATTGAACGAATGATCGAATGGTGAACGAATCTTTTGAACAAATCTTTTGAACGAATCTTTTCAGTGAACTGATTCTAGTGATTGAGTACATCTAAAAGAACTGCCGTGCCCATCACTAAATTTTAATGAAGGCTGTACAGTTTGGTTGCGCTGCAGTACCTACATCTCACCACTAGTAGTCAGTAAAAACCACAAAACTCTTGCAGAAATGATAAACTTTCAGATAATTTTAAAGTTTAATAATGAAACAGGATGAATGACCACGTAGAGTAAGGTGAATTACATGTTTCTCTTTGTAGGGAGCAGTCACAATAAAATGGAGCATCATGTGGATAGCGATGAAGACTCAGAGGACCCTGCTCTGATGGTGGTACCTGGATCCTTCAGGTCTGTCTCTGGAGTCAGCCGGTACCGAGACTTTATAGGCTGCCTACATGTTGACCTGTCCAAGAGGATATTGGGTAAGTCAACATAAAGACAGTGGTTCTGTTTCCTAAAATTCACCACGTGTTGTGAAAATCGCATCAAACAAGTATTTTAAAATATTTTTTTACAGAGTGTGTAAAGAGGGAAAAGGGTGTCCAGCAATTGAAAGTAATGGTTATTATTTCAGTATTGTGAACCCTTGTGTGCATTAAACTGTGTGTCTTATATCAGGTCTGTTGGATGAACAGACTCTGAAACTTTGCCAGAAGGTTTGTCGTTACTGGGAGCACCTTGCTCAGGAAACAATGAAGGAAATCAAGTTTGCAAGAAAATTTCAAGATAAAGCGAAGGCCATAATGCAGGTTAAGCATAATTTTAACCTTAAAATCTGTATCTACTATCAGTTGGATGAAAGTAGAAATAATTTTCTTCTGATTTGGTGTTTTTATCTTGGGTAGAAGAGTGAAAGTAATAAGATTGTCAGCTCAACTTATGCCAAAATTGTGGAAGTCCCTGTTCCTGCCGAGGATAATGAGGAATCTGGCATTCAACCTCATGTCCAAAAGGTAAAAATTGATATCTTTAAAATATAGTGTTGAGCATTTTGCTGCAGAAATACATTCTTTCACACATAAATTGTCTTTCGTTTGACAGCTTAAGCCATTTGCAGCTGCTTATGCCAAAATCAGAACCAAAACGGTGCAAATGGAAGAGCGAAATGTGTACTGTGGTGCATATTATACCACAACGCTGCTGAGCAAGTAAGCAGGTGTAACTTTCTTCATGATGCATCTGTAGTCCTGGATATTAAGAATAAAAACATATCTGGTGGTTGTATTTGACAGAGAAGACCCCCATCGGGTGGTGGACTACAAAGGAGGATCTCTAATGGCCATGGGTGCAAAGGACAGTGCGGTGAATCTGCTTTATGTGGCGTCACAAACTGAAACCGTGTCGGTGCTGAAGGGCCACGTCGGGAGCATCCGGATGGTGTTATTGTGCGAGGACAGAGACCTGCTGATAACAGCGAGCTGTGACTCGAGTATCAGGTGAGGAGGAGGTGGTGGACTGTTACCGACTCAGCAGTTTTGTCAGGTGATGATGTAACATTTGGTCTCACCTGTAGGTGTTGGAGTTTGAAGACTGATGCGTGTGTGATGGCGCTGTACGGTCACACTAGAGTGGTAAACTGTCTGGATGTTCATGCTGATAAACTGGTCTCAGGAGCCAAAGACTGTCTGGTTAAAGGTAGGATTCTTACAGACATTATGAATATTCTTCAAAACACAAATATTTGGTTATGAAAGACTGGCTTTAACAGTCACGTTTACTGACTGATCAAGTGAAGTATTCTCAGTAAAACCCTTCGCTAATAATGTCTCTTGTTGTACATGTACCTGTTGTCAATAACACAAATACATCAGCAACAATAAACTAGACACGTGTATTAAACCTGCTTTTAGAGCTTCACATTATATGTGATGGTATAAAAAGGGATATTCCAGTGTGACGCAGCTCAAGGAAGAACATTTATGATCATTTCTTCATGGAAATGCAATCAGACCGAGACGCTAAGGCAGAATAACTACCGTGTCTGCAGTGCAAAATGATTGATATGATGATTATTACTTGAAGGAAATGATAAAGAAATGATCATAAATGTTCTTCCTTGAGCTGCGTCACCCCGCTGTAGTCCATAATGGACTGGCCTGAGCTCTCGCTAAAACAAGCAGCTGCTGGAAGAGAGTAGGTGAGTTGTTTTAGTCTTTTTGTCAAAGAAATTAGGCAAAGTTAAAGAGATGTTTGGTGGCTAGTACTATGGCTAGGACCCTATATGTACTGTTGATGAAGTTAGGTGCTGTTCTGAGCATTATTTGTGGCTATAGAGTGGCGTTTTGGTTGAGGTTTGTTTATGGCTCCTCAGACCGCTGTGTATTGCTATCGTGTGGTCGTTACTCAAGTTGGTATAACTAGAGAAGCAAGCGGTCGGCAACATTCATCTCTCGAGGGGTGTCAAACTCGGGGTTATGGTGTGTTTGACCTTAAATTGATTTATGACAGAATATCCCTTTTAATTCAAACCTCACTCACTTTAAATGCAAACTTTTTTGTTATAGCCTGTCAAAGTTAAACATATTTGTCACCCTGTCAGTGTGGAGTCTGCAAACAGGGACGCACTTCGAGGATTTAAATTTCAAGCACCAGTGTTCTGTCCAGTGCGTGAAGATCAACAAAACATCTGTGTTCAGCAGCTGTTATCAAGGGTTAATCAAAATATGGGACATAGAGAGTGCAGCACTGATCAGGGTAAGAGTCTAAGAAAAATCTGCTCTATAACAAACATTTCTTCACATTTACCAAATTTTTGTTGTTGTACTATTTCAAGTCGTGTTTCCTAACTGCTCTTTTAAAGGTGATCGATGCTCACAAAGGTTCAGTGAAGTGTCTCTTTCTCGACGAGTGGCACCTTTTATCTGGAGACTTTCACGGTCAGGTCATGGCCTGGAGCATCAGCTGTGATGTTAAAGAGAGTCTCATGACCTTCAAACACCCAAAGTAAGAAGAAAACCCACAGAGATTATAAAAACAGTGTCTTCAGTGTTATTTTTAATCTTTTTAGACACCTTGTCCTGCCTTGCCGCCCCTCTTTGACCTTTTAAAAAATACTTACCATGATGTGAAATATGTTTCTTTTAATATTTGTGATCTCCAAGGCATTTTACCTGACTAAATTGAAATATTGACTTGAATATTGTCTTTCCTGCAGGGAGGTTAAATCTCTCGCTCTGACGTACCTCCGTGTTGTAACTGGCTGTGCAGATGGAAAGATTCGAGTGTTTAATTTCCTCACTGGAGATTGCCTGAGAGAAATCAAGGCAGAGACTGAAAAAGGAAGCATACTGTCCGTGCACTTCAATGAAAACAGGTAAAATCAGAAACACATTTTTATATAAGTATAATTTTGTTGAATTTCTCACTCATTTTTCACTCTTTTTTTAGTATTTTAGTGAATGCAGCATCTGGTGTGAAGCGCTACCAGTTTGCCAAAGTGTTCTGGGATTACACAGAGACGACAGAGAGAAGTAGAGACGACGTAGTGACTCAGGATCTCACAGAGAAAAAGGTGTTTTCACCCGGCTTGAAGATGCATGACAATGACGACAAAAAACCAAGGAGATCTGCGCTTCTTCGCCTCTCATCTTCTCCGGCTACGGTCTCTTCATCAGGTAAAGAGCGCTGTAAAAGGGCTGAGTCACTGCTGCTGAGCGAGAAGGCGACAAATGAACGGATACAAAAGAGGGGCCCTCACCATCCTCCGACACGTGACTCTACCCTCCTAAGAGTCAGCGCCATGCAGAGGGCGAGGTGCAAAGATGAAGTCAGCGTCAACATGGAGCATAACGCCAGGCTAAGAGACTCCTGGGGTCCTCACATATCCGACACTCAGATTAATCTTACCGTGCAGAAACCTAATACTGATCACAGACGGCCTAAGACCTGTGTCCCCATTTTAAAGAGAGCTGTCAGTCAAAGTGTAACAAACACAATCCACGGCAGAGCGAAGTGTCACAGCGCTGCCACACACAGGAGAGGGAGTGGATTCATTACAAGAGCAGCAGAGAGACCACAGGCGCCTGAGCCGGCTCTCAGGATGAGATCGCAGCCCAGTCCAGAACACTCTGTGAAAACCAGAACCAGCTTACCCAGGATCAGTCCTGTGGGTCCAGTCACAGAGCGGGGAGGATTCAGGCTGATCTCAGTGAGCCAGTTTGAGGACTGTGTCTGCGGCAAGAGGGAACTCGTACGCAGCCGTGAGCTAAACCGCTCCAAAACGCAGGAGATAATCCTCTGAGGAAAGAAAGTCAGAGGGTTTGATTTAAATTGGTGTTTTACTGAAAGTCCACTAGAGGTCAGTGTTGTATAAATGATCTCTATCTGGAATAGGACCTAGAGTTAATATTATGGAGATTTTATGGCTTTAGCTTTTTCCCTTTTGGTCTTTAAGAAACTATCATTGAGCAGTTTAAGGACGATCTTTGGAAGTTACTTTCCTCTAAAGTTAAATGCACTCTCTGTCTCCTTGCTCATGTTGAGAATATATTAAAAGTTAAAGTGAAAAGCAGATCGCTTTACTCTTTTTTTCCTTTGCAGTGTCCTCAACACATTCAATTCAAGGTTCTCTGAAAAATCCACAGTCTGAATGGCAGGATCTTGTTGTTTAAAGACCTGTATTGCAGTTGTGGTGCTTTCAAAGATCCTTAGATGACACATGCCACGGTTAAATGTTGGCCTTTGAACTGTAGGCTAATAACAAGCTGGTTGTCCTGCTTCTTTGTCATAGCTGAAGATGCAGTTCTGCTTTGTTTGGATTTGTCAGAACTTGGGATAGTTGACCTTTTAGTTCTTGCGTTAGTCCACTGCAGATAGAGTTGCTAGTGTTTGCATTGTATAGTTTTGACCTATATTTGTGGATTAAGCAACAACTAGAGTTCACAAAAAGTTGTTATGGGCTGTCACCTGAGCCCATACGGTGACTTCTACTACAGAGTCTTCTGTTTTTTTATGGAGTGAGCTGCCTAAGAGCCCAGAGATAAATATATTTTAGTTTTGTCCCGTTTATACAAAGTTTTCTCCAGATTTCCTCAACTTTTCACGGATATAATGAACCATAGATAAGAAAATCACAGGATTTCTTGGAGTTTTGTGCCGGTAAATGTTATTTTTGATTCGCTGGTGTTATAAATTAACCTAGCTTTATCTTTAACTATGTGACTTTTTATACTAAATGCGTTCATTCAGTCTGTCGATGACAAATTTATAAGACGAGGTAAAAGAAAGGTAAAAAATAGACGTTTTGTACCTGACAAGTTTTGGCTTCTTTGCCTCTGCAGCCTTCATTAGAGGTTTGTCAGGCACAAAACGTCTATTTTTTTTACCTTTCTGGCCTTTTATGGATGAACCGTCTTATAAATATATGTGACTTTTTTCATTCTGTTTATACATCTCAAAGATAAACTTGAAAATAATCTCTGATTCGTGGGCGAAATGGAAAAGAAAAGGGTTTTCCATACCCTGATTCCTACTGTCATATCACATTTAGTTTGCTTCTCGTATTTGATAGCAGCAAAACTTTCAAACAAGACATAATGTGGTACTTTTGATCAATTTTCCAGTAACTTTACAGAATGATTTTCCAGCACATATTCATAGATAATAAGCACTCTCACCGAAAAACATGTCATTGGTAGTGAGTCAGTTTTCTCTCACCTACTAATTTTCCTTCAGTTGAAATACCGGGCAGAAAAACCTTCCATCAATCGAGAGACGACTCATTTTTGTGCATATTCAAGCTGTGCGCGGTACTTCAAACGTAGTGAGTGAAAACATCAGAGTGAGAGGAGTTTGTCCCGTCCAGAAAGACCTTTCACCCGGCCACCTGCCCTCTTACCCCGCTGCCTCCAGGGCATCATTAGGGGCGAGGAGGTTGAAGATCAGGGAGAAGGTCCTCTGCTTTGACAACAGCTGGGCACATGTGAATAACAAAAGGTTTATGAGGAGAACTGACTGCTTCAGAGAGTCTTCCCTTTCAGGAGAGGTGCCGCTAATTAATTTGATCTGCAGAAAACTGGGGAATAATGGAGATCCCCCCTCCTCTTTCCTCCTGTGGCAGTGTGACGTAAGGAGACAATGGAATCCCCTCCCAACACCCCGAGTCGGCTTAGCTTCGTCATGCAGCACAGCTCCCCCTTTGTCGCGTCAGGTACAGAGTCTCTTGTCCGGAGCTGCAGGGGGGATAATGAGCGTAAAATCAAAGCAAAGTCAGAAAAGGGAAAGTCTTCATGGAGGAATGCTCTGAGACCTTCTGCTTCTCATAGCTGGCCCTGAGGGTCGCCGGGGAAGACAAGGGTACAGGTTTATTTATGCTTGAAAGAAACGACCGTTAACCCTCTGGAGGTGAAAAGAAGGCAAAAAAGTCGATTCAGTTTAACTCGGCTGACCTCTGCTCTGCATGGATCTCCACCTCCAAAGGCAGATATTTGCATCATAGTTCATTTGTCAAGTTAATTTTTCAATTTTTGTCATGCCGTGTCACTTCCAGGTTTGAACTCTTCACCCGCCGTGGTGTAGAATGTGATTAACCAAATCACGACCTGCATTATTTTGATATTTGCATGTCACTCAGACGAGTGGCTGACTTGCCCTGGAGCTGTCCAGATATCACACCGTCACAGGTCTAATGAGACGGGCGTCAAAATGGAAAAGCTTGATGAATATGCAAAACAGTCCGGTCTCACGGGGAACTGATTTATGATAAGACATGAGGCAAAAATCCCACCGTGGAAAACACTCTTAGGACATTGTTCTTAAAGGCCACCTCGCTGCATCGGAGGAACCACAACTAGAGATGCCCTGCTATATTTTCTCCTCCTAAAACGGCACAATCCATGAATTTACCTCCTTTTTATATCAATTATGAATAATTAGCAAAGTCGCCATGATGCCAGCCATTGGCTTGTCAAAGTCTGGCACTGTGGCTGTTGAAGTGTTGGTTTTTCCAGAGCCAGAAGTATCCTCATTTGGAGGAAGGGTAAACAAACACTATCAAAGCTCTACAGTGTCCGCCTGTGGCCAACTCAATAGCTGTTGAATGAGAAGGTTAATGTAACCTCCGTGTTCCCCAAACAATTACGATATATTTGAGTTGAAAGCTGACCAATATTGTTTGTCCTGCAGACAGAATGAGCAAAGAGAGCAAATTTGGTTAAAATTTTACTGCCTTAATCAAGAGTGAGGGAGGTCAGTGTCCGTTTATGAAATTATGTCAATGACTTTTATGGATTTTCACTGTTACCCCCGCTTTTTTGCCGCTCAAGTAGCTACGCTGTTACGTTCACGTTAGGTTACCCGCGCTACTCGCAATATAGACCATGTGTAAGCTTAAACGTTACCCTTCACATCAATGGATGAGGGTCCGACAGGATTTGATGCGCTTGTTGATGACTCAAAGCATAGAAAATAACGTTGTGTGTTGTTGTGCTCATACAGCGCGAGTAAAAATCATTATTGGCGCATTGATATTGATGCTATTAATGCTACTCGCTATATAAACCGTGTATAATCTGCGCTATTGCTGAATGAAGGTAGGTAAACACTTTGATTGATTCTACTGAAAGGATGATATGTTGAACATTTGTTATGAGGATCTATTGTGATTTACTCACTATTGGAATTAGCACCTAGTGGCCACTTGGGGAACTGCAATTTACGGGAACTTCTACAATCGTGTAATTTCCAGCTTTTGTTAGCCCAGCAGCTTGCTATCAGGGCATTGTTGTTTGGAAATGTAGTGTTGCTGCTGTGAAGATGCACTTAAACAGGAATTATCGTTTTAGAGTGTTTATGCTACAGTTTCATAGAAGGAATAAGTACATTTATTAAGGGGTTCAGACGCTAATACCAAGCACGAGTAAAATAATGTACTCACTTAATTCGTGCAAATCTAGATGCTTGAATGAATAGTATTTACTCGCTTCATTCGCACATCAATGGTAATCCCTGCCAATTCACCCGGCGGGATAAAGTGATAGACGAAGGTTTTCTAAAACTTACCAGGTAATCTGACCTCCTCACTCACTTGCCTCCAGGTGAGCTCCTTATTATTCCGGTTTCGGTAATTCGGTAATTTGGGGTACACCCCGACAGAATCAATTTGTCCTCCATTTAAGATACCAGTGAGCAATCATCCCTTTTCATACGTTACTCCACAACCTTCATGCTGATTGGTTATCGCGACACGAATATCCACTAAAATTGAGACATTTTCAGCTCCTGCCCAAATCGCATCATTTGATTCGCTGAGGTATCTAATCGCATCTTTGCATTGACTTAACATGTAATTCATTCGCGTGTGAATGAATCAGAGGCATTTACGATACTCAAATCATAATTAAACCTCTGCATATGGCAACTTCAATGGCATTTGAGGGAAATGTCAGCAACTCATAGGATTGAAGATTTGAGTTTCTTGAGCTTAGTAGCACTTGAAAAGCCAGGCCCATGAGCCAGCACTGTTAGAATCCAGGAGGAAAAAAACAGACCCATGTGCCTTTTTGACCCCCTTTGTAGATACAGATCATAAAAGAAGAGAGGATGCAGTCCAAATGAAGGGAGGCAATTAACAGGACCACCATTATTCAGATTTGAGACTGATTAACATCCGCATCCAGCCAAGCCAATAGATGAGACAGAGTCTAATTGCTTATTGATTGGGTCTCAGCAGTGAGCAGGTTCCTGTTTGCCAAAGTTGGTTGTTGCTACGTTGAAAAGTCTTTGATTGAGCCAAAAAGAGCAGCGTGAAACTGCTGTGACCACGCATGGGGAAGATGATCAAAGAGACTTCAGCTAGCTCCTGGCTCCCTGTGTACAACACTCAGCCCCAAAAGATGATTGTGTGAAGCCATTACTCATAGATGCTTACTCATGTCAGACAGCAGCAGAGATGACACCTTCAGAAACTTCCTTCCATAAATAAATAAAGAATGATTGTGTGACGAGACAGTAAAGTCAGCAGGATCTTTCCCCAGCTCTTGATTTTGTTTGAGTTAGTATCATTAGGTTTTTATTTCTCATTTAAGAACTGACTGATTGCACAATGAAACCATCTGTTTTTTTACAGCGTTACATCTGGAGTGTATTCTGATAATTGCAAAGAGATTATTTTCTATCTGCAAGACCTTTTCAGTACAAAAGACCCATACAAAAACATAACCAAGTGCTGACTTACCACCAGAGGCTGTGGCATATAGTACATTTACAGTTCAGTGTCATTTTTGTCCTCTAGGGGGCCCACTAGACCTGTATATAGTCTTGTTTGGTGGCCAGATCTCAATGTTGGAACCAGAATTCACTCCTCCTGCAGTTGAAGACTTCTCTGTGTCTTTGAGAGAAATCCAGTTGAGTTTTTTTTTATTAATACAACATCATTTAAGTCTGATATTTCATTGAAAATAGTGCAGAGACAGGGTAAAAATGTTTAACTGAAATAATATTAACATATTCTTATTAAAGAAAACAAAAAAAAAGTCTGCAAATGGTCAAAAAAATGGAAAAAAAGTTGTTTAA